GAGGAGGTGGCGGCCCTGCACCCAGGCGGCGGCGCCGCCGCCGCGCGCGGCGCGGCCGGGCACGTCGACGGGCTGCCCGAGGATTCCTGGGCGGGCGCGCCGCCTGTCGTTCGGCGTCCGCCTCCTCGTGACGGTGCTGCTGTCGTGGCAGCCTCTTGCCCAGTGTCGGGGCAGGAGCCGGGTGCAGCCGTCGGAGGTGGAGGAGTCCGCGGGGCTGCGCCGCGAACGGACCCTCCTTGAAGTCGCAGATGGACGAGCTTGCCTCGCCGCTGGGCACAGCTCTTGGCGATCTGCTCGCCCACGTCGAGGCTGGTGATGCGCTCGGCCATGCCCGGAATGACTCGGATCGCGACGTGCTGGACCGCGTCGGCGAATTCGGCGCCGGCCTCGCCATGCATTGCTTCGCCTCCTCGCTTGGGCCCACCAGGGCCCACTGCCGCGGATGGTTGAGCTTCTGCTTGCTTGCTCCAGGTGCGCAGTGGGCGATCCCAGGTGGGCCCTTCCCGTCGGTCGGCACAACGTGTGAGCCTCTCTCTGAAGCTCGGTTGGTGTGCCGCCGTCGGCCTCCCATATTCGGCGGTGGCGTAAGCGGCCCGGTCAATGGGCTGTTGCGCGGCCGCCGACCTCTGCATTGCTTGATGGCGTTCGTGTCACCGCAGACGCTTTCCAGTCGGCGCCCGCCTCATTACTCCATCCATGTTTATTACAGATAACTCCTCCCTGTCGCACCCCGAGACGTGTCGGCCGGGCGGGGCCGGGCGTGTCGCTTGAGGCTTCCTCACCATTCCTGACCCTGAAGCTTACACATTGCAAGACCTTCGCGGATGGAGGGCGGGTTGCTTTCAAGTGTGGCTCTCCCGCAGCGCCGTGCACATTCGTCTTAACATGTTTCAAGAGCTTCATGGGTGGAGGGCGGGCGGTGTTCAGCATTATTGTTTCTTTGCGTATCCCCACCCGCCCATCCAGACACGATCGCAGGCATTCTTGAGGTCTCTTGGAGGCTATCGTGAGCCATGTTCGATTAGAGGCTGTCGGAATCTATCCTGAGCCATGCTCAGGTGTCTTGGATCGTCTTGTGGATATTTTGAGGCCTCTTCGAGGTCTGTCGGAGGCTATCGTAAGTCATGCTCGACCTCCTGGTACCATCTTGGGGGTGGAGGAAGAGGAGCAGGAGAAACAATCGAGAAGGAATTGGAGGGAGAAGAAGAGTAGGAGGAGCAGGAGGAGGGTAATGATGGTGGTGACGATGATGTGGATGATGATGATGCTGATGATGCTGATGGTGATGGTGATGGTGATGATGATGCTGCTGGTGATGATGATGATGGTGATGATAATGCTAATGATGATGAGGATGATGATGAGCATGCTGCTGCTGCTGCTGATGATGATGATGATGATGGTGCTGATGATACTGATGATGCTGCTGATGACGATGATGATGATGATGAGGATACTGATGATACTGATGCTGATGATGCTGATACTGATGATACTGATGATGATGAGGATACTGATGATGCTGCTGCTACTGATGATACTGATACTGATGATGATGACGAGGATGAGTGCGGTACGAGGAAGCTGATGATGATGCGGATGCTGATGCTGATGATGAGGCTGCTGCTGGTAATGCTGATGATGCTGACGATGCTGCTGCTGCTGGTAATAATGGTGATGATGACGATGATGATGATGCTGATGATGATGATGCTGATGCTGATTATGATGATGATGATGCTGCCGGTGATGGTGATGATGATGCTGCTGATGATGCTGATGATGATGCTGCTGATGATGCTGATGCTGTTGATGCTGCTGTTGATGATGATGCTGATGATGCGGATGCTGCTGATGCCGATGCTTATCATGATGTTGTTGATGATGACGATGATGATGCTGATGCTGATGATGCTGATGCTGGTGTTGCCTCTGCAGATGATGACGAATATGAAGATGCAGATGCTGATGATGATGATGATGATGATGATGCTGCTGATGCTGATGCTGATGATGATGATGATGATGATGATGATGATGATGACGACGATGATGATGAGGATGAGGATGATGATGCTGATGCTGATGATGGTGGTGGTGATGGTGATGATGATGAGGATGATGATGCAGATGATGCTGATGACGGTGCTGATGATAGCGATGATGATGAGGATGATGATGATGTTGCTGCTGCTGATGATGATGCTGATGGTGGTGATGGTTGTGATGATGATGACGATGATGGATGATGCTGATGATGCTGATGATTATGGTGATGATGATGATGATGATGATGATGATGATGATGATGATGATGATGATGATGATGATGATGATGGTGATGAGATGATGATGATGATGATGCTGATGATGATGATGATGATGATGATGATGATGGTGATGATGATGATGATGATGATGATGATGATGATGATGATGATGTTGATGATGATGATGATGCTGATGATGCTGATGATGATGATGATGCTGATGGTGGTGGTGGTGATGGTGGTGGTGGTGATGGTGATGATGATGATGCTGCTGCTGCTGCTGATGATGATGATGAGGATGATGATGATGATGATGATGATGATGATGATGATGGTGGAGCAGGAGGCGGAGGAGGTTGAAGAGGCAGAGAAGGAGGAGGAGGCGGAGGAGGAGGAGGAGTCGGAGGAGGGGGAGGGGGAGGGAGGAGGAAGGACAGGAGGAGGGAAGTAAGGGACGATGGCAAGGAGGATGGCAAATCTGGCTTTGGAGGTCTACCGTTGTGAGAGGTTCTTGAAGGACCACGGCGGCCATCTTAGGGGCTCTCTCTTAGGGCCCCCGTGGGGCTTCACGGGACTCTCTTGGGGCCTTCTTTGGGCTCATTTTTAGGATCTTGGGGCCCTCTTGGGTCTCCTTGGAGGGGTCTGGGAGGCCTCTTGGGGCCATCTTGGCCCCCACGAGTCAAACAGAGGGGGGGCGGGGAATTCAGGTCCCCCTCCTGGAAGGCGCAAGCATGGCGTCCTGAGGCCCTCTTGGGCCGCTCTTGCGGCGCTCGTGGGTGCTCTTGGGCCCTCTTGGGTCCCTCTTGGGCCCCTCAGGGGGCTCTCTTGGGCCGTCTGGGGGCCATCGTAAGGCCCCAAGAGGTCATCGGAAGCGAAAATGCGAGAAGGCAAACCACATAAATGTTTCCTTGGTTCTGAAGCCATTTGGCCTTTGGGGGGGTCCTTTGAGGGCTCGGAGGACACGGGAAACCGTCTTGGGGCCGTTTTGAGGTCCCAGGGATGTTTGTTTGAGGCTATCTTGACCCATCTTGAGGTATCTTGAGCCATCTCGGAAGCCATCTTGCGCTCTCTGAGGCCCTCTTGGAGTCATCTTGAGCGATCTTTGGCGCTCTAACCCCCCTCGCGGGGCGCCCCCTGCAGACCCAGTGGAGGGGGCAGGGGGCAGGGGTAAACCCTTCCCCCGAGCGGGGGAAGGAAGGGTCTGGCAGGGAGAAGACGCAATTCGTTAAACCACCTACGCCCAGAGGGCTGGTGGGATTTGGCTCTCGCCTTAGCGCCGCGTGCATTTGTCTTAGATGTTTGCAATTGTTTCACGGATGGAGGGCGGGTGGTTTTCAACATGTGTCTCTCGCCTGAGGGCCACGCACATTCGTCGTCTCAACATATTACAGCAAGTTAGCGGACTCTTGTGGTAGACGTCCCAGGAGTGGTGTTCTGGCACGAGTTAGGATTATCAGGGCGCAGCAGTCACGTTGATTCGCGGTGTTGAAGTGCGAGGAATGGTAGTTTGGCCCGACGCATGACCGTCAGGAAGCAACAGTCAAGTTGATTCGCGGCGTTGACGTGCAAGGAATGCTGTTTTTGACCGACGGAGAGGGAACTTGGAGTGATTGCTTACTGCGACGCCGTTGATGTGTCTTGGGTTTACGCGTGTCCTCCTCCTCCTCCTCCTCCTCCTCCTCCTCCTCCTCCTCCTCCTCCTCCCTCTCCCTTTTCCTTCCTCCCTCCTCCCTCCTCTTCCCCCCTCCGTCCTCCTTGTGCCTGCTCCCTCCTCCCTTTTCCCTCCTGCCGTCAGAGCCGGTGCCCAGGGTGCGACTCCGTTGCTGGGCGCCCTGGCGCCCTTCGGTTCCGGGCATCCTGCGCCTGCTCCCCGCCTCGTCGGCCGAGGGGCGCCCCGGCACCTTGGCGCGCCCCGGGCGCCTGGCACCTCTTCGCGTGGCCGAGCCGCCCTGCCGCCCGCTCTTCCCGCCGCAGCCGCGTGGGCCCGAGCCGCCTCGGCCGAGGCCCTGGCGCCCAGGCGCCCCGCGGCCGCCGGCCCTGGGCGATGGCGGAGGCCTGGGCCCAGGACGCGGCGACTGGCCTCTGGTGGAACGGCGGCGACGGCCCCTACGACGGCAAGTGGCGCCGGGTGCCCTTCACCGCGGAGGAGGCACTGTCAGTCTGAAACGCATCCCTATCCCCGTGCTTGGCATCGCCTGGCCTCGGTGCCGGTCTCAAGGATTCCCTCGACCACGATCACCACGATGGCAACGACAGCAACGACCACAATGACAGCGATGACAACGAGGAGAACGATAACAGCGACCGCAATGGCAGCGACGACAAGGACCACGACGACCACGAGGAGCACAGCGATCGCGACGACAGCGGTAACAGCGAGGACGATCAGCTTGCCATCGCCGCTGGCGTGCCGATCTCAGGGCTAGGGATCCAAATTTTAAGTCGGGCGTGTCCCTCTACAGGAGGAATATTCAAAAATAATCAAAACATAGTCTGGGGACGTTTTTTTTTGTTTTTTTTTTTTTTTTTTTTTTTTTTTTTTTTTTTTTTTTTTTTTTTTTTTTTGTTACTATTTTGGCCCATTCGGGGGGTTATTTTTGGTTTTTTTTTTTTTTTTTTTTTTTTTTTTTTTTTTGTTTTTTTGTTTCTTTTGTTTTGTCAAGTTTTCGCCCAAAAACCCCCGTGTAGGGGGACGCGCACGACTTAATCCAAGTTCGAGGCTGCTCCGAGGTGCTGCCCCTGGCCCGCGCCCTGGCCCTGCAGGCCGAGACCGCCGGGCTCAGCTCGGGGGGGCGCCCTCCGCCGGCCGCCCGCGCCCCCCGGGCCCGGCGGCGCCGGCCCTTTGGCGCAGGGCCGGCACCGCCGGGCTCGGCTGGGAGTCAGTCGGGCCTGTCCCTCTCCAGGGGGAATGTTCAAAATTGGCAGAAAAAAATAGTCTGGGGACGATGTTTGGAGTATTGTTTTGGCCATTTGGGGACGTTTTTTGGCTATTTTCTATTGTTCGTCCAAGATCCCCCTGTGGGGGGACAGGCCCGGCTTTTCAGGCTGGGTGGCCAACCCACCAAACCACCCACCAAACCACCCCAACCCAACCCGAAGGCTTCAATCTGCCCTCCATTTCCGGTGGGGGGGGGGTCGGGGAACGTTGAAAAAAACACATGGAACCCGTACCCCCCCCCCCACCCGAAATTCGGGTCAAACTCGGGTCTTCGGGTTGGGTTGGGGTGGTCTGGTAGGTAGTCAGTCCCTCTCCAGGGGGAATATTCAAACATGGTCGAAGAATAGTCTGGCGACGTTTTTTGTTGGAGCATTTTTTGGCCATTTGGGGGCATTTTGGGACTAGTTTGTATTGTTCGTCCAAGATCCCCCTGTGGGGGGACAGGTCCAGCTTTAAAGGCTGGGTGGCCAGGTCCGGCGGGCCCAGGGGAAGTCGGCGGCGAGCGCGGTGGGGGGGGAGCGGGAAGGAGGAGGCCTTCTCGGAAGGATTGGAAGTCCCCCGGCATTCCGAGGAGTTTTCTGAGGGTCAAGCTGTTCAGTAGGGTCGAGGTAAGAGAGCTTGACAGTAGCTGTCTCCACGGCATTCCAGACTGCTCTGGAGCGGCCGCGGCGCTGTATATGCGCTCCAGGGCCGCCGAATGTTAGAGGTCCCCGACGCATGCCGATCCGATCCTGTCCCGCTCCTGGCCTCGGCTTGCCAGAGGGCGCCCTCCCGACCACATCGCCGTGGCCGAGGACGGCTTCCCGCGCTGCCGCACCGTGACGACCGGGAAGTACGTGGCAGAGGACTTCTCGGAGGTCACGGTGGCGACCCGCGCGCGCACGCGCAAGTGCTCGGAGATCGCGGCGAGCGGCAAGGCCACGCTCTTCTGGCAGGACAAGACCGGCAGCGGCGCGTGGGTGTCGGCCGCCTGCGCCGCCTCGGTGGAGCACGGCGATGCCGAGGAGGGCAAAGCCAAGGTCCTCCGGGGCGGGAGGCATGGCGACGACCACGGCCCTGCGGGCCGGGCGCCTGGGCCGCGGCCCCGTGGGTTCGAAGGAGAGAAACGTGGAAGTCGATTCATGGAGAGGAAGCAGGCTGCCAAATAACTCCCAGATGTCTAAAACATGTTTCAAACATGTTTTAAATATGTGAAAACCATGTTTGAAACATTTTCAGAACATGTTTTACACATTTTAAACGCATGCTTAAATTCAATGATAGGATGGTTAGAGTGTCCCTTGTCGTGGCATCCACAAGGAAAAGCCTGAGCAACAGCTTTCGACGGTCCGCTCGGAATCCTCGAGTTTGCCTTGGGCCCCCTGGCGGCGCCTCCAGCGCCGCCCCCGGCGCGCTCCGTGCGTCGCGGAGGGGTGTCCAGCGCCGATATCCGAGGATGCCGCGCGGAGCTCCAGCAGTTCCGTGCCTGTGCCCTGCCTCTTCGATGGAGACCTGGCGCTCCTGCGCGGGCGCCCCGCGCCGAACGTGCCCACGCCGCGACCGCGCACCCTCGGAGTCGCGCCCCCTCGGAGTCCAGGCCGCGAGGGCGGGGTTGGGGATGCGCTCGCCGCCCGTGAGGTCCGGCTCGTGGCGCGGCGCCTGGAGGTGCAGGACTACAACGCCAACATCACAGGCGGCGGCACGGACTGCTGGCGGCCGATGGTGCTGGAGCGGGTCGAGGGCGGCTGGCGGAAGGTCAGCATCGTCTTGCCTGTCCCCATCCCCCTGGGGCCATGGCAGCTCAGTTCCGCCAGCCCACCTTCCTAGTTGAGGACAGGCTCCGCGAAGTCCGAAGGACCAGGCGTATGAGAGACGGGAGAAGACGGGGTCGTTTGCCCCGACATTCGCGCGTAAGTTGCCCGCGGAAGGTCGCGCATGAGCGCCCTTGTTCCCAGTGGGACGTCCCGCGCTGGCGGCCCGCGCGAGCCACCGCGTAGGTCGCTATGAGATCATGTGTAAGACCCGTTTCTGCTCGTCGCGCATATGGCCCCACTTACGGTGTTCATGCGGCGATGGTGTGCCTGCGACGCTGGCGAAAGCGTTCGAGGTTGAATTCTGCGACGCGGAAGCACAGAGGGACCCGGTGACGCCACTGGACCCGACGGAATTCAACCTTGAGCGATCGGGGCCGCGGTCGATTCAAGGTTGACCGATCGACGCGATGTCAACAACCTTTGCGCGTGCCGACGCCGCGCGAACCCACCGCAGCATGGTAAGTCGGCGAGGTGGCCGCGCCAGTGTGGAGATCGGCTCCACGGTGCTCAGAATCATGGAGAATCACAGAACCCCTGACCCTAATACCGCAGTAAAGGCGTGGCCTCACCGAGGTCCCCATCTTTCTGCATCAGGGATAGAAATCTGGACGGTCTGTTTGGGTACATCTACAGAAAGAGACCCTCCATCCCCAATACCTTCTTGGCCCTCCCAGCTTAGGGCCCCCTCCCCAAAAAGTCTTCGGGGCCCTTTTTGCCGCTGCTCACAGAAGGTGCCCTGAGGCGCGGCCCTGGCCAGGCCGGCACGGCGCGCAGGGGCGGGCGGCGCCCCCGGGGAGGGGGGGGGGGCGGGCTTCCTCCAGAAGGTGGGCGGGGCGGCTCCCGGGGGGATCTCGGGGGCCCCCAACCGGGGTGGGGTGCCACAGCGTGCGGTGGGTCGGTGGGGATTCGGGGTCACCGCACGGTTTTGGGACTCGGGTCGTTCCCCGAGGACGTCTCGGGCGACTGGGGCCTCCAGGGTCCCAAGACCATGCGGTGCCGGACCGTGCGGTGAGGTCTTGGGGCGTTTCGAGGTCACCGCACGGTCTGTCACCGCACAGTTTCAGGACTCCAAAGGATCGGCACGAACGAAATGGGTACGGAAAGAATGGGTACAATGCCCAACAGCAGTGCCTGCTCATTTTGAAAAGGACTCGCTGTCCGCGCCGCCGCGGCCTGTGTCCACTTGAGACAGAAGGCCGCCTGCCCAACAGCGGCCGCTGTTGACTTGGGACAACATTTGTTGTTGGGCATTGTACTCACTTTTTCCGTACCCATTTCGGTCGTCCAAACCCTCGGCGCCTTCCGAAGGGGACCCCCTTTGGAGTCGGGGATCAATAACACGGCCGATCTATTGCCGATCTGTCGCCGACTCATCGTCGAGGCATCGCTGACTCTGGCTCGACGTTTCCCCCTTGGAGCGGGTCCACCCCGACAACATTGGGGCTACCTTGGGAGAACAAAAATCGGTATCAACATACACTTTCGACGGTCCACGCGGATTTCTCGGATCGGTGCTAGAGCTGCCTGGCGCCGCCTCCTGCGCCGCCCCCGGCGCGTTCCGCGCGCCATTGAGGGGGATCCGGCGCAGATCCGAGAAATCCGCGCGGGCCTCCGAGAGTGGATGCTTCTGTCCTTGCTTGCTCCCCTGAGGAGGCCTCCGACCCGTGCCGAGGGCCCCCCCCCTCCCACTGGCCCTGCAGAGGGCCGCCCCCCCCCCCCCTCCCCAGGACTTCCGGCGCCATCGGATTCTTCCCCGCAGCGTGAGCCCCCCAAGAGGTCTCGACCCGCTCCCCGGGGCTGGTCGTTGGTGCCGCGCGGTCCTCTCACGGCCTGCGCGGTGGGGTCCGAGTAGACGGGGTCGGTGGATCGCGCCGCATCGCCGATGCATCGACGATGCGGCTCGATGTGGAGCCCGTGCTTCCCCACGCCGACGCCGCCGACGCATCGCCGACGTCGCCGATGCATCGCCGACGCATCGCCGACGCATCGGCGATGCCTTGGCGATGCGGCGCGAACCTCCGACCCCGTCTGCACGGACCCCATCTATCACCGAGCGCGTTCCACCACTCGCCAAGTGCACCGCTTGCAAACGCCCGAGAACACGCATGTCTGCTTTGATGTAACCTGTCGCAGATTCCCCGCAGGGGATCCAGGCCATTTGCGAGTACAGTCGGGGCCCTGAAGAAGGAACCCTTTTCGTTGGGGAAGGGGCTCGGTGTTCCTCGAGTGTTTCGCAGCTTGCCCTTCGTTTTCCCTAGGTTTTCGATGGGACATCGAAGTCTAATTCGTGGGAAACAGGGGCCTCGCTCCTTACTTAGGGTTCCTTAGGTCAACGCCCCGACGGTAGTCCTTTTGCGAGTCGTGGAGCGCGCTCGCCCAATCCCGGAGGCCTCGAGCTGCCCCCTCCCGCGGCCTTCGGGCCCCGGCGAGGGGCGGCCAACCCGCCGCGCGGGGGGCGCTCGCCCCCCCGCCTCCGCGGCGCGCCGCCCGGCGAGCCGCTCGAGGCCGGCCCTGGCTGCCCCGGCGCCGCGCCTTTTCGCTCTGGGCGCCCGCGCGCAGGGGCTCCCGTCGAGGGGGGGGGGGCGGGATGGGCTCGGGCGGGGGGGATTCTCAGGCGATCGCAAGCATTCAGGAGGGACAAAAACACACAGACACAATGAATCATTCATCGTCGATTCCCGAGAACAGATAGGAAAATATGGGAAGTGGGGGGAAAGACGAACACCCTAAAAATATAGGAACATATGGGGAATCATTTGATTTGTGTGTATTCATTTGTGTATCCTGGGGCCCCTTTTTACACATGGATTAAGCGGGCGTGGATTAGCGACGGGTCCCGTTTCCATGTGAGATCGCGGACTGCCGCCGCCGAGCGGGGCGCCACCAGCCACATTCTGGGGAGGGCACCTCCCCCGATCCATGGATTTGGCGACCGCGCGCCAAATCCATGGATCGCTAATCCATGTTTGCGCGCCCCCGAGATTTCGTCCGTATCGTTTAACCGACCCCCATCCCCATCCTCATCCCCTTCGAGGCCCCCACCAAATTACCCCCCCAGTGGGGGATACACCCTTCGAAACCCGAAGGGAACGACCTATACCCCCATCTAGGGGGGTAAATCCGCCAGTGGGGCCCAGGCCACGACGCTGGGGATGGGGATCGGTCAACGATGCTCAATTCGAAGAAAGGGAAAACGACACGAAGACAAACTTTTGGCGCTCCGCGCGGATTTCTTGGGTCCGCGCCGTGGCTCCCCCGGCGGCGCCACGGGTGCCGCCCCTGGCGCCGCTCCGCACGCCACGCAGTACCACGTCTTGTGCAGATCCGAGAAATCCGCGCGGACCGTCGAGCATGTATCTTTCTGCAGTTGTTTCTCGGCGGCCAGCCCAGGGGGGAAGTGGGAATGAGAAGAAATAACAATAATAGTAATAATAACACTAATAATACTAATCATCCCCATCCTACTAATAAGAATAATAATACTAATGCTAATACATATACTTATCACAATAAGACGAATCATAATAGAAGAAACATAACCACAATAATAAGAGTAGCAAGCAAATAATAATACACAAGAAGAAGAAATGGACAGACGACCGTTTTTGTTTATGACGTTTTTTGCTCCTGCAGGAATGGCGTCGCCTCCCACGCGCCCGCTCATCGCCGACACAGGGCCCGATGCAGCGCCCACCCCCCTCGGGAGCGTGCGGTTCTTCCTCTCGGGGGCCTGTCGCCGACCTGTCGTCGAGGCATCGCCGACTCTGGCTCGACGCTTCCCCCCTTGAGCGGCCCCCCCCCCCCCAGTACACGGGGCCGGGGGGGGGGGGCGTCCCCCAGTACACATCACCAAACCAGGTCCCACCGAACCCAGTTCTACCAGCGCCCGAAGGAGGTGGGCGGGGCGGCTCCCGGGGGAATGCCCTCGGCGCCTTCCGGAGGGGACCCCCTTCGGAGTCGGGGAACAATAACGCGGCCGATCTATGGCCGATCCGTCGCCGACCTGTCGTCGAGGCATCGCCGATTCTGGCTCGGCGTTTCTCCCCTTGGAGCGGGTCCCCCCCCCATAAGCTGCCCCTCATATCCTGGAGCATTCGGGCGACCTTCAGAGAACAAACGTCGGCATCGGCATGCACTTTCGATGGTCCGCGCGGAGTTCTCGACCTCCTTGGCGGCGCCTTCGGCGCCGCCCCTGGCGCCGCTCCGCGCGCCTTTTGGGGGGGTCCAGCGCAGATCCGAGAAATCCGCGCGGACCGTCGAACATGTATCTTTCTGCAGCTGTTTCTCGGCGGCCAGCTCAGGGGGGAAGTGAGAATAATATTATTAATAATAATGATAAGGATCGTAATAAGAATAAAAAGACGACGAATAATAATAATGATAATACTAATGATAATAATAGTAATATTAATACTACTAATAATTGTAGTAATAATAATAACAATACTAACAACAATAATAATAATACTAATAATACTAATAATAATACTAATAGTAATAATACTACTAATAATAATAATAATACTAATAATAATAATACTACTACTACTAATACTAATAATAATAATAATATAATAATACAAATAAGAAGAATCATACAAAGCATACTTATAACAATCATAGTACTAATAAGAAAACTAATCATAACAACAATAATGCCTTCTCAGAAGCCGGCGGGGCTTCTCAGCAGCCCTGGAGCCTCGTGAGAGGCTCTCCCGTGCTGCCGTGGACGGCTCGGAGAACACTCCCCTCAGCAGGCCCAGGGACCAGGCCCGCCCCTCCCCGCTTCCCGGCCCACCCCCCCACAGGTTCGCCGCCCCAGTTTCTCCCCCCCCCCCCCCCCCTCAGGACCCCTGGCGCCCGCCTCGGGGCGCCGCGCCTCCCCGCCCACCGAGGCGCACCCTCGCCGAGCCGCGCGGCGGCGCCCGCCCCGCCTGCAGCCCCGCCCGCGGTCGCGCGGCCAGTTTTTTTTTTTTTTTTTTCGGGCCCCGTCGAGCGCTGGGCGATTTTCGGGCAGCGGGAGCTGTGCACAGCTGCGTCGGGCACGTCCCTTTGCAGGAGGGATCGTCGAGAGTAGTCGGCAACATCGTATGGGGGCGATGTTTCTACCAGTCTGGACTGTGTTTGAATATTTTTTGGACTAGCTTTAGATTTCCTTCCGAAGTAAGCCTGTGGGAGGACATGCCCGACCTGAATGTAGAGGCGTTTGTTTGATCCCCTGGCGATGATTCGTGGGCGAAGAGCGGTGAGAGATGAATGCTTCCCGCGATCGGGGGCGCTCGTCCCAGGGTGGCTGGGAAGCTTATACCCCAGCGTGCCGCCCCAGGGGTATAAACTTTGCAGCTGCCCAGGGGGCAGGCGCTGGGGAAACACACACGCTTTCTACCGCTTGTCGCCCGCCAAGAGAACGTGCGTGGCCAGGGGGGGGGGGACGTGCGTGGCCAGGGGGGGGGGGGAGGGGGCCCTGTAACGCCACGATTCGCGCGGGCGCCGTCCGGAGGTGCCCAGGAGTGGCCCATTCCCAGGCGGCGCCGGCGCGAAGCGTGACGGGACGCCGGGCGGGGGCGTGGCCGGTCACGGGCCGTTCTCGCGGAGCGCAAGGCACGGGCTCGTGCAGCACCTCCTCCGCCTCCGGCCAGGCCCGTCCTGGGGCCCGGGGGCGGCGCGTGCGCCTCCCCGGCCAGGAGGGCACGCGTGAGCCGCGGCGGGGCCGTGCGCCGCGGCGGGGCCGTGAGCCGCCCCCTCGGCGCCCGCCTGCGACCCCCCGCGGCCCCGCAGCCGCGCACGGGCTCGGGCTGGGGGTGCTCGGCGGCTGCGGTCGCGCAGGAGACTTGGAGCTGTAGCTCCAGCGGCTGCGCCCTGCGTCCGTTTCATTTTCTTCCCACCCCCAACATGTTGTAGCGCATCCTGACATACCTGAACGCACGTTGACACACATTTCAACATACTTCCGCGAACTTTCGCTAACTTGTTTAATACCTTTTAACATACTTCAATATACTTGGCCAACAGCTGACATATGTAAAACTATCTTAAGTTTAGCTAAACATGTTAAGCTTAGCAAAGCCACTCCGCAACCAAGTTGGGGCTTCTTGGAGGGCCCTCGGAGGCCTCTGGGGAGCTCGAGGGGCCATCTCGCTGGGAAAGGCTCAAAATGTCAGTTCGTATTCCCCTTCTTGGGCTTTCTCGGCGCCCTCATGGTGCCATCCAGGGGCTGCTTGGATCGTATTGGGGGACCCTTTGGGCCCTCTTGGGCCTTCCTGGGGCCTCCTTGGAGGCATCATGGGTTGTCTTGGGCGATCTTGGGGGCCACTTGGGCCGCCGTGTTCGCTGGCAAAACGTGAAATTGCGGATGTGCTGAACATGTACGTTTTTCCTGGTGAAGGGGATAATTTTTGCCTCATGGGGCCCTCTCGGCGATCCTGTGGAGGCGCTTTTGGACTGTCTTGGAGGCTTCTTGGGCCACTTTGAATCCATCTTGGATCGTCGTTTCGACTGTCTTGGCGTTCTGTCTGGGCCCTGTGGGGCTGTCTTGGAGCTTCTCCGGGGCTCCCGAGGTCCTGCGGGTGCGTTGACGAGCTGCCCCCCCCTCCCCCCCCGAGAATGGGATTTTGGGCACCGGGGGAGGGGGAACGGGGGAGGGGGACAGCCACATGTCTCACACGCCTCGTCACCCCCCGGCAAGCGGGGGTCGGCGGCTGTTTCTGCAGTTTTCTGCTCCTCCGCATCGCAAAAGGTCGAGAAACGCTCTCTTGCGCGCAGGGTGCCCGCGCAGGACCTCGCGCGCGCGCGCGCAGCGCCCTCTGCTCCGCGCGGCGTGTCGCGCCGGCGGCCTGCGCAGACCGCCGCGTCGGGTCGTCGTGCCGTCGCGCGTCGGGCCCCGTCGCCGCTGTCGCGGGGCGCAGAAGTCGGGGCCCGTTTCGATCCAATCGATCCGATTCGATATCGTTTTTCGACCGGTTCGAACCGATTCGATTTCGGCTTCCCGGCGATCCGATGCGGCCCAGTGCTTGTATGGTGCTGTTGTGCATCCCGGCGCAGCCGATCCGATTCGATCGCGACTCCGTGCCGATGCGTCCCGATCCGACGCACATTCCGATTCGAGGCGATTTCCTGAGTCGATGCTGACTGATCCTGGAAGTGACCTGCATACAAGACTCAAAGAAAGAAAAGGTACCCATATCACTACCCTCGCCTTTCAGGGCCTCCTGGGAGGCCCTCGTCGCCACTGCTGGATTCGCCTCGACACTCTGGCCAGAACGCATCCCTGGAGAGGTCCGGGGAGCAGCGGCATCGGCACCACCTCCTGGGTCCCCCACGGACGCCGAAAGACTTGAGGGCCATTTTGGGCCCAGGAGGAGCTCTGGTCTTCGGGCCGTGCCTCAGAGCTGGCCGTTCCTCATGACAGCACGGTGGCTGTAAAAGCACGTGCTCTCGGAGGTCCCCCACGGACGCCGAAAGACTTGAGGGCCATTTTGGGCTCGGGAGGAGCTCCGGACTTCAGGCCGGGCCGTGCCTCAGAGCTGGCCGTTCCTCATGACAGCACGGTGGCTGTAGAAGCACGCGCTCTCGGAGGTTCTCGGCGAGTCTCTTTGGGTCGGCGCCGTGCCCCCCCCCCACCTGACGGCGGGCCCCCCTGCAAAGGCCGCGCTGTATCGGCGTCGCCCCAGCATACTTGTGCTATATGTGCGTCGCCCCCCCTTAGGGGCGACGCGCGCACCGAGGAATCTTAGAGTATGTGCGTCGTGGCGGGCGCTTTCTGGCCACGCCGCTCGGGAGACGATGTACTGCAAGACGGGTATACCACATTTTCGGGTCGGACGCGCGCCTCCAAGGAGAACATACAGTACTAATATGTCTTTGCGTCCCGCTGTAGACGACGACGACGACGACGACGACGACGACGACGACGACGACGACGACGACGACGACGACGACGACGACGACGACGACGACGACGACGGCGGCGACGACGGCGGCGACGACGACGACGACGTACGACGACGACGTACGACGACGACGACGACGACGACGACGACGACGACGACGACGACGACGACGACGACGACGACGACGACGACGACGACGACGACGACGACGACGACGACGACGACGACGACGACGACGACGACGACGACGACGACGACGACGACGACGACGACGACGACGACGACGACGACGACGACGACGACGACGACGACGACGACGACGTACGACGGCTGCGATGACGATGACGTTCGACGTAGACGTTTGACCACTACGTCTGACGACGACCCCCGACCGCGGCGCACGACGATGACGACGCACGACGGCGACGTCCGACGATGGCGTCCGACGACGATCGACGACGGCGACGACGACGACGCGCGGAGGCGGCAGCCGGCGCCCGCGGGGCCGGCGGTGGCGGCTTCCCGGACGAGCTGGTGCTCCCCCACAGGCGCCGCCGCACCGCGCTGCCGCCGCCGCGCCCCCTATCGGGGGCCTAGAGGTTTCACTTCGCATCTCCTGGCAGTCTTGTCTTGTACTGCGAATGTGGGTTCAACGCGGATTCGACGTGAATTCTGCGTGGAATCGACACGGATTCGACGCGTTCGACGTGGATTCGATATGGATGCGACACGGATGGCTGGCGGGATGGGACAGACGAGGCCCCCCAAAGATGTAACATAAAGGTTGACACTAACACCAGTATCGGCTGTGTGCCTCCACCGAGGGAAGATGATCCCGATCTCAGTCATGGTGGTAGTATTCGGGCTTCCTAGGTGGCCGACAGATGAACATCAGCATCGAAATGTGTTTGATCATCTTCCCCGGGTAGAGGCGACTCCACGCGCCAGGGCCGGCATGCCAGGCCAGAGTTTCCCCAGGAGTGAGCCCTTGGCCTCCAGGTGATCGCGGCCGCCGCCGACGCGGGGTCGTCGGTCGGTCGGTCGGTCGGTCCGTCGGTCGGTCGGTCGGTCGGTCGGTCCGTCGTCGTCGTCGGTTTGTCGATCGTCGTAGTCGTCGTCGTCGTCGTCGACGTCGTCGTCGTTGTCGTCTTCTTTGCCCTCGTCGTCGTTTGGACGAAGAATAGAAAATAGTCAAAGCATACCCCCAAATGGTACAACAAATATTCACATAGTTTTTTTTGATATTCCTCATATTCCTCCTGTAGAGGGACAGGCCCGACTTAACCCAGGGGGGGAAGGCAGAGGGGTCGCGCCTTGGACTTCAAGCAGCGGTGCAGCGTCCTGGCGTGCCCATAGCGGGTATAGCCAGGACCCTGGGCAAGGGGACCCCTAAATTGGCCAGAATCACTAAACCAGGTCTGCCGTAGCTCGTGTTTTGCTGGTGACGGCAGTTCCGGTTAGTGCGTGCCCCAGTACACATCACTAAACCAGGTCCCATTGCTAAACCCCGTTCTGCCACTGCCCGATCACAGGCCCACCAAACAATGTTCTAAGAACCTGTCGTGGTCTGCACGACATGCTCTTCTGACATTTCTGGCCGGGGCCAGCTTGTCTTCACACATCGGGTTGATGTTCTAAGAACATTGTTCTTGCTCTCAGAACATTGCTTCGGGTTCTGAGAGCATGTCGTGGTAGGCCTATTAGAACTGCCGGGGCGGTCGGCCTCTGCTCGAGGACTGCCCCCCCACGAGCATCGCAACCACTGCGGCCCGAGCGCAGCCACTTCGGGCCGGCCGCAGACGGTCGCGATCCGCCCCAGGTGGTCGACAGTCAGCCCGGGAGTGGTGACGGTGGGGCCCTTGTTTCAAGCAGTGACGAAGCGTCTTGGCTCGCCTATAGTCCTACCGAACAATGTTCTAAGAAACTTTCGTGGTTTCCACGAAATGTTCGTAGAGCATTTCTGATTGAGACTGTCTTGGTTTATCGCATCGGGTTAATGTTCAAAGAGCATTGTTTTGGTTCTTAGAACATCTTGGGGTTGTAAGAACATTTCGTGGTAGGACTATAGGAATGCCGGGACGGTCGGTCCCTGCTCAATCCTCGCCCGGGCCTCTCGGAAGGCGCTGAAGGCCTCCGGTTTTTTTGCGAGAAGCTTGCTGGGCCTTCTCTGCGTGTGGCCGCCCCGTGGCCTCGCAGAAGTCGAGCAGGGTATCGTTTGCAGATTTGTTTTTTATCCCCAACTTGGCTTGTGCGTCGGATCTGCGAGGACATACGCAGAGTTCAGACCTGGGAACAGTTGCGTATCCTCTCGTAGAATCGACGAACAAATCAATCTTGGGTTAATCGGCGGCGAGCGAGGGGGGCAGGTGAGAAGGATAAAGCCTTCTCAGAAGGTTCCGAAGTCCCCCGGCCTTTTGAGAAGTTTTCTGAGCCTTCCCCGGAAGCACAGACAGTTTCTCAGAGGGCGCGAGGGCTTCTGCGAAGTCCCGCCGCCTTCTGAGAAGGCCTTCTCATTCTCACTTCCCCCCCTCGCTCGCCGCCGAGTTAGATCGTTTCTGCAGTCGATGCCCTGCCTCGAAGTCGATCTCCTGCTCGAAGCAGGCTGGAGGGCTTCCGAGAAGCCCCGGCGGCCTGCTGAGAGCAGGCCTGCCCCTGGCGATCTTCCCCTCCCTCGGCGCGCCGCCGCTCGAGCGAGCGTCGAGTCCTGGATCCGAGAGGCTCGAGGGCCCCGCGCGTGCCGCGAGGGTCCCGGAGGCGGCGACGACGACCACGACGACGACGACGACGACGACCACGACGACGACGACGGTCGCGACCGGCGGCGGCGTCGCCTCCTCGCCCTTCTCGTGCGTGCTGCTGGGACCGTCGGTGCTCGGTCCTCGAGCCTGGGGCCCCGGGACCCTGGGTCCCTGGGTCGAGCGCATGGCGGGCGCCTCTGCCTCCTGCCTGGTCCCCGGAGGTGCTGGAGGCCTCGCGGGGACCCCGGCCCGCGCCTCCTGCCGCACAGGTGCCTCCTCGACGCCGCGCCTCCTCGACGCCGTGCCTCGCTCCCCGACGCCGCGCCTCCTCCCACCCCAACCAAGGCACAGGGCCTCGCTAGGCAATTCTTGGAGCCCTGCGTAGTCCTCGCAAGGCCGTCCTTTCAGTGCACTCGCGTGCGCCAGCCTCTGGTGATCGGCCACCGAGCATGGCAAGACTGTGGGGTGGGTCACCGCGGGGCCGCACTCCGCTGGATCTCCGAGGAGCTCACGCAGGCGGCGACGGGTGCGCAGCTGGCAGCGCCCCGGGGAGGGCGAGGTCCCGTTTTAGATCCGCGTGTTGGCGCACTCCGCTGGACCTCACAGGAGCCTACAAAAGGAGCGATCGTAGACCTAAGTCGGGCATATTCAAATCAACATTTGCCAAACAATCGTCTGGGCACGAGGGCATGCCCGACCTAATCGTAGCCATCTTGGCTTAAGTTTTTCACCAGGCCACCCGATAGGCCGGACGCAAATTACACCAGGGTGACATTTCAGCTCCTGCCGAACAGACATGGCAGGACTCAGGAACGTTCTGTTCTCTTTCACTCTGATCGCGTTGGGCGGTCTCCTCTTTGGGTACATGATCGGCATCAACAGCAACGTTGTGACAAAGGGGCAGCTCATCTGCCCTGATGACTGGACTGGCGACGTCGGGTCATGGACCTCATGGGGCTACGGCCAGTGCTACCAAATCAGCGATTGGGGCCAGGGCATCCTGAGCTCGATGAACCTCATAGGTGCGACGCTGTCCTCTCTGATCTGCTTCAGTTATGCAGACGATCTCGGGAGGAAACGCGAAGTGCAGATCGGGGCGTTCCTTTACCTGACTGGCTCGCTCGGTGCTGCGCTGTCCCCGGTCCTCTGCGGCATCTACGCGGGCCTCCTTGTCTACGGCCTCGGCATCGGCTTCGCGATGCACGCGGCCCCAGTGTATATCGCGGAGATCTCGCCCGCGGAGGTGCGCGGCACCCTCGTGTCGGCTAAGGAGGCCGTCATCGTTCTCGGCATCTTCGGGGGCTTTGCGTCTGGCGCCGTGTTCTCCTCGATGCCCCAGGACGGCTGGCGTCTCATGGTGGGGCTCGCCGGCGCCCTCGCGCTGGTGATGGAGTGCGGCATCGTCTTCGTGCCCAATTCGCCCCGCTGGCTGCTGCTGCAGAGCGTCCGCCGCGCCGCGCTGCTGGGCAGCGACAGCCGCTGCGAGGAGGCTCGGAAGCCGCCAGCTGCGCACCCACACCACTCCTGGCCGGGCCGATCCTTGAGCACGTGCCGTATGCCTCCCTCGCCAAGCCAGGAGGGCGTACACCCCGGTCCTGGGTAGAGGCTCGGGCTGGCAAGGACCGGTGCAGGTGCACAGCTGGCGCCTTCCGAGGAGGCGCGCGCCGGGCTGAGGTTCTTCCGCAGGGGCGCGCCGGCAGAGGAGGTGGAGACCGAGCTGCAGGCCATTCGCGACGACGCCGCCGCCTCGCTGGGACAGGGGCAGGCTGGCTGCTGCCAGGCGTTCCGGTACCCGAAGCCCCTCAGGATCGGCTGGGGGCTCGTGCTGCTGCAGCAGGTGACCGGTCAGCCGTCGGTGTTGTATCGATGACGCTTGCGGCGAACCACTTCCGCCCCCTGCCCTTCAGTGGGAGTGCCTATGTGGCCAGACGTTGGGCCAAAGGCTGGCCAGGAAAGCGCACCATGCCGCTGTGGAATTCGGGGGAACCCAGGGAGGAGAGGGAGGAGGAGGAGAAGGAGGAGGAGGAGGAGGAGAAGGAGGAGGAGGAGGAGGAGGAGGAGGAGAGGAGGAGGAGGAGGAGGAGGAGGAGGAGGAGGAGGAGAGGAGGAGGAGGAGGAGGAGGAGGAGGAGGAGGAGGAGGAGGAGGACCGTGGTAGGACCTTGGTAGGGACCCGGGGGTGGTGACCCCCCCTGGTTTTCTGGAGGGGGGGGGGCGGGTTCGAACCGGTAGTGACCCCCCCCCCCGGGTTTTCTGGAGTGGGGGGGGGGGGAGCTCGAACCGGTAGTGACCCCCCCTTGGTTTTTTGGAGGGGAGTAGGGGGGAGGGGTTCGAACCGGTAGTGACCCCCTCCGTTTTCTGGAGAGGGCGGGGGGGGGTTCGAACCGGTAGTAACCCCCTCCCGGGTTTTCTGGAGGGGGGGGGGGTGTTTCCCAGGGGGAAGGGGGGGGTCCAGCAGTGGGGGATGGATTTTCGGAGGGGGGGAACCCCCAGGTTCCAGAGAAAGAGGAGGGGGGAATTTTCCACAGTAAAGCGGCGGTGGATCACGCTCTCTCTCCTATAGGTACCCGTCTTTCTATCAACCTGCTGATATTTCAATATCTATATTTACGTGTATATATATATATATATATCTTAGATATGTATACCCATCTGTTTACCGGTCCGTGCATCAACGTACCCACCCATCAGTCGATCAATCTTTCTGTACAAGTGCACATCAATCCGTGTGTTTCAATGCCCACCCGTCTACCGAGCGATCCGTACACCCGTATATTTACCCAGCTGTCGATCCATCCTGTTATATATAAATAAATAAATAAATTGCTCTTGGTGTCCACATTTACCCATGCATACATATGTACACAGGTATATACATGTATGTGCACCCACTTGTGAAAGTACCCGCCCCTGTATCTTTCCTTCCATCAGCGTTCTGTATACATATAGATATATGTATGTATATGCAGGGACCTTTACAACCCACACTCTATGAAACAACTGGCAACTCGCCGGCAAAACGGAATTTGAAAGCACACCCCACAAACATAGTATTCTTATAACACGCGCAGCAAAACATATGTAAATCCAACGTTGAAGGGCTCCGATCGTGAAGTTACGCAGACGAATTTTATTCGCAACACGTTCGCTATGGATCAGTTTTAAATCACCGACGAAAGGACTTCGATTGCACAGCCCAACAGTAATTGCATTGTATGACACACGGGTGGATTCGATATGCAAACCCTTCACACACGGAATTCGGCTGTAAAGTCGCCCTATTCATTATTTGGGCGTGCAGAGCGCGAGGGGGAGAGGGTACCCGTTGCCCTCTCGCGCCCTGCGTGCCTAAACGGATGGCAAGAATGGTGGGGGGCAGTGGTTGCCTCTTTTCACACTTTAGATCAGAGTGAGGGGGCCGAACGGTCATTCACTGTCCCTGGGTGCGTGGCTGAAATGGGATTCCGCGGTGCGGATTCTCGTTGTTGTTTGTTGTTGTTTGTTGTCGTCGTCCCACCCGCAAACCGCCCGCGACCCACCCGCGACCCACCCCGCGACCCACCCCGCGACCCACCCGCGACCCACCCGCGCGACCCACCCGCGACCCACCCCGACCCACCCGCGACCCACCCCGCGACCCACCCCGCGACCCACCCCGCGACCCACCCGCGACCCACCCGCGACCCACCCGCGACGACCCACCCCGCGACCCGCGACCCACCCGCGACCCACCCGCGACCCACCCCGCGACCCGCCCGCGGCCCACCCCGCCACCCACCCGCGACCCACCCGCGACCCACCCGCGACCCACCCCGCGACCCACCCGCGACCCACCTTCGACCCAAACCACGCTCAAGGTACAAACCACAATTTTCGGCGTTTGCGGTGGGCTTTTTTTGCATTCCTTCCAGGTGGAGAGCCCGCGACCCACCCCGCGACCAACTCGCGACCAACCCGCGACCCAAACCACGTTCAGGATACAAACCACATTTTTCAGCGCCTGCGGCGGGCATCTTTTGCACTCGTTTCAGGTGGAGAGCCCGCGGCCCACCCGCGACCGCGTTCAGGGTACAAACCAAATTTTTCGGCGCCTGTGGCGGGCATACAAACCAATTGTTTCGGTGCCTGCGGCGGGCTGCTTTTGCATTCCTTCCAGGAAAGGGTGGAGAGCCCGCGACCCACCCGCGACCTAAACCACGTTCACTGAACAAACCAATGCCGCACAAGCGCGGCGGCGGATTTTTGCATGCCGTCTGAGCCCGCAACGACCTCTTCAAGCCCCGCGCATCCACACCAGCCCGTCCAGCAACTTTGCCCTGGCGAGTTGCCTTGATCAGAGAAGTCGGGGAGCATAAAGTGGAACAAAGGATTGCGTTGCCGTTATCCTGGGAAAGGAGGGGGAGGCAGGAGGAGTAAACAGGGGACGAGGAGGACGCGGAAGAAGAGAGGATGTAAGGAGAATGTGGAGAAAGAGGAGCAGGTGGACGAGGAGGGGGAGGAGGGGGAGGAGGGGGGGGAGGAGCACGAGCAGGGGGAGGAGGGGGAGGAGGGGGAGGAGGATGATGATGGACAACAATGGGCGGACGATGATGGAGGCCGATGAGGGGGAGGACGACAATGGGAGGACGATGATGGAAGGACGATGGGGGGGAGAGGGAGGACGAGGAAGAAGAGGAGGAGGAGGACGAGGTGGAGGAGGAGGATGACGATGACGATGAGGACGAGGACGAGGACGAGGAAGAGAAGGAGGAAGAGGAGGAGAAGGAGGAGGAGGAGGAGGAGGAGGAGGAGAGCGTCATCGACAGGGAACGCGGGGGCCACGAGGTCCGCCGGCTCGACGACGCCCGCGTCGCCCGCGCCCGCCCCCTCACTCTTATCCGCAATTGCGTGGTGCTGCTGATATACACCAGTTCATGTACGTATGTATCCCCCGATTCATGGACGTACACGTGTACATATACAAGTGGCACGTGCGTGCCCAGGCTCATACGAAAAACAGGTTCTCTTTTCTGGGAGTTGTGTGCGTGTGGGCGTGTTGTTCATGTGTTGTGTGTGTGTGTGTGTGTGTTTGTGTTTGTGTTTGTGTTTGTGTTTGTGTGTGTGTGTATCGTGCGCGCGTGTTGTGTGCTGTGTGTGCTCTGTGTGAGTGATGTGTGGGTGTTGTTTGCTTGTGTGTGTGTGTGTTGTGTGGGTGTGTGTGTGTGTGTGTTCTCTGTGTGTGTGCTAGGTGTGCTATGTAGGGGGTTGTGTGTAAGGTGTTGTGTGTTGTGTCCGTTGGGTGCGATGTGAGTGGGTCGTGTGTGTCTGTGTTGTGCGTGTGTGTGTGTGTGTGTTGTGTGTGTGTGTGTGTTTTGTGCGTTAGGTGTGTTTGTATGTGTGTGTGTGTGTGTGTGTGTGTGTGCGTGTGTCTGTGTGTTTTGTGCGTGCGTGTGTGTATGTGTTGTCTTCGTGCTTCCTGTATGTTGTAGGTGTTGTGTGTGTGTGTGTGTGTTTGTGTGTGCATGTGGTCTGCTTGTGTTGCGTGCGATGTGTTGTGTGATGTGTGTCCGTGTCCATGTGTCTGTGTGTGTATGTGTGTACGTGTTCTGAACTTCCAGGAAGGTGTAGGAGAGACCCAGACGCTTCAGGAGGCCGCAGGAGGCCTCTGGAGGTTCAAAGAGGGGGCTCCAGGAGGTCTGGGAGGCTCCCGGAGAAGGTGTGTCTTGGAAGGTGTTATGTTTCAATGTAAGAGCTCCGACTTAATTTTGGGAGGACGTCTCAGGCGGAACTGTTTTTTTGAAGAGCCGTGTCCAAAACCATTAAGAACCATTGTGCGGTTGAAGGTTTTATTTTGAATTGTAGCAGATCCCTTGTGTTTTTGGACTCTGTCGTCGCGATTTGTATGAGGGTGTCACCGGTTCTCAGAACTTTGAACATGTTCCTAGCGACACGGTCAGAAACATCTCTAACGTGACAGGACCCTCAATTACTCGCCCCCGAGCTTTATTCCCTCGGAGAGGTGTGTATGATAATCTTTGTATTTGTATATGTACACATGCATATAGTTATCCATCCATGCATCCTTTCATCTACCGCTATATATATATGTATATATGTATATATATATATGTATATCTATATTTATGTATGTGTACTTCCATCTCTATATTCCCATTTTAATCTAGATCCGTACATATGCGAGCACAGGTAGCAATGCACATTATTTTTGCCCATGCATCAAGACATACACATGTATATATTTGTATATCCGTCTATCGTCGTCTGCATGTGTATATATATATATATATATATATATCTACATATGTATGCCCATCTGTCGCTCCATTATTTGTCCCTCTATAGGTATATCTATGCATGCGCATCTCTATCCATTTTCTATTTATATATATATATATATATATGCTAATTGTGTTCTCCGTTCTTCTGTGTATATGTTTAGTATGCATTTTCGGTCTTCATCCACACACTAGGACACAACTGTCAAGTCGCCTTCGAAAAGGAAAGGTTATCCATTGCAAAGCGCAAAAACAAAGCATCGACGTGTAACCCACACGATTGGAGTTCAAATGCAAATCCACAATACAATAAGTTCTCTTGCAGAACTACATAGAAGTGTTCTATTTTGTAAGCAACACGGTAAGAATTAACCTGCAAATCGCCCGCAAGCGTAGTCCTATAGTATAGCCCCCCCAAGAGGATTTCATTTGTAGTCCACACACTAAGAACCAGTGTGTCAACCGCCCGCATAAGAACTTCGATTGTACTGCCTTACAAACGGGCTTCACCCTCAATAGAACAATCAAATTCTTCATAAGCCGCCCACCAACGATTTTTCTTTAAACGAGAGCCGGAACATGCCTGGGAGCAGGCCGAAAGAGCAGCAACACAACATCGTGTTTGGTTGGTTCATATCTTCTCTCTACCGCATCCCACCTGCCAGATATGAAGTACAACATATTAAATTAATCAACCATTCCAAGTTTGTTTTTTTCATGTGTGTGTGTGTTTTTAGGGAGGGGTCCCCCAAACTTTCCCCGTCTTTCTTTCACATGAAATTTATTTTTGGGTGATCAGCAAATTGGTTCTTGTTGTGTGGACTACACATGGAATTTGTTTGTGGAGCTGTACGCTCGAATTCTTGTGAGAATTTAGACGTTGATCCCTCGTGTGTGGTTTACAAGCAAAATCTCCCTGCCTTTGTAGTGGATTGGCAAATTTATTTATTGTGTGTGTGTTTCAGAAAACTCATCTGTCGGCATTCTGATCGAATCCCTTCAGTGGGCGATCTACAGATTGAATTTAATGTGCGGATTAGGCAAGAATTTCTTGTGCGGGGCTGTACACGAAGACGTGGTTTGCTGTGGATTTGTTCTTTGCTCTCATTGTGTATATTACAAGCGCAAACCTGTTGTGCCGCTTTGCAATGTTTTTGTCGGTGGGGGTTTACACGTTGATTATTTTGGAAGGCATGCGCACATTGACTGTTAAGTGCCCAGGTATTCGAACGATTTGCAGAATACACGCCACGAAACACACCACCAAACGGCAAAGCACATCAAGCGAACGAACATGGGAACGTCTAGAAACCAAGTCGCCTTTTTGGAGGCCTCCCGGTGGGTTTTGCTCCTTTTAAGCGTTTCTGGGGGGTTCTCGGGGGCATGTTGGGGCTTTTGGGAGCCAGTGTTTGGGTGAAAGGCTGACAAGGCCCCTTCGCTTTCCCCTCTTCGGCTTTTTGTAGCATTCGCAGGCCTCTTTGGCCGTCTTGGGGACTTCCCTGGGCCGTCTTGGGGCCTGTGGACTGTCGTGCGATTCTTTTGGGGGCCTCTTGGGCTGTCTTGGGGTGATCTTGGCGGTCCCTTGGGCCGCCTTGCAGCGTTGGGGTCCCCCAAATCAGTGAACGGCACAAATCGTCAACATCTAAAGAGAAAGCTTTTATGTTGGCATCTTGGGGCTCTCGTGGGGCGTCTCAGGGGCCTCTTGGGGCGTTTTGAGGCAGCCTTGGGCCGTCTGTGGGCCCTCTTTTGGCCTTTCCGCGGACCTCTTGGACTGGCCTGGGGTCCTCTTGGGACCCTCTTGGGCCGTCGTGGGGCTCTCTCACCCTGGGAAAACTCACGCGAGAGGCCTCGGGAGTCGCCCGAGAAGCCCCGCCCATGGAGTCGCTGAGCCCCTGAGAGAGTCTTCGACGGCTCACCGCAGAGAGCTCGAAGGGACCTGATGACACTCCACTTGGTGCCGCGCGGCACGGTGGCGGACTTCGCGACCAACATCTTCAAGGGCGCCGGTTTCAAGTCTACCGCTGCCCTGTCCTCGGTGGGCGTGGGTTTTGTGAAGCTCGTCGCCACCCTCTTCACTGTTTTCCGGGTCGACCGGTACGGACGGCGCTCGGGTGTTGCGAAATGGGGGCCGATGAGTGATGGACCGGAGAAAGGTGCGCCTTTCGTGCCCTGAAGGGGCCCGTCAAGGGGGCCCCCTGGTGTAGGCACGTACGAGGGGTGCACGTTTCTCCTCCCCAGCTCTCGCCCCCCCATCATGCAACGGCCAAGGCGCGTGCTCTTGCTGTCTGGCATCGCCATGATGGCGGTGGCTCTGCTGGTGCTTGGCACCGCGTTCCTGTTCAGGGAGTGCGCCGAGCCGGTCTCGCGAGTGGCGGACTGCGAGCAGGACGATGTGCGTCTTCCGCAGGGCTGGGCCATTTGCACGGTGGCGGCATTGATGCTGTACGTCAGCGGGTACCAGGTCGGCTTCGGACCCATCTCGTGGCTGATGATCTCAGAGATCTTCCCCCTCAACGTCAGGGGCGCAGCGCTCTCCACGGCCGCCGTGGTGAACTTCTCGAGCAACATCACGATGACGCTTTGTCAGACCGCGCTCATGAGCGCGTTGACGCCAGCGGGGCTGTTCTACGCATACCTTGCGCTCACGGTGTTCAGTTTCGGATTCGTCAAAGTCGTGGTGCCAGAGACCAAGGGCCAGACTCTTGAGGAGATCGAGGTGTTGATGACCGGCAAGCGGCGAAACGCACCATCAGTGTGACACGGCAGAGTAGGCGGGATCGGGCTTCTGCATGTGCTCCCTGACGTAGACCTTAGCGTCGTTTGAGGCATTTGGGCAGGACGTCCGCCACGTGAGTAATGTTGATATCTTAGGCGAGCGGCGTGACCTTCACCCCAGGTGGTGTCCACCTGTGGCACCGTTGCGTCATCCAGTCCGCCGCGTTCTTTGCGGCGTGCGATGCGTGAGATGGACTTCGCCTCGCTGCAGGCTCGAGGGACGAGCTGAGGTCCGGCGGAACCACTGACACTCTCCCTACAGTCGGGGCCCTGAAGAAGGAACCCTTTTGGTTGGGGAGGGGCTCCGCTTTCCTTAAGTGTTTCACAGCTTGCCTCAGGTTTTCCTTATGTTTTCGATAGGGAAATCGAAGTTTAACTTATGGAATGAAGGGGCCTCGTTCCTCATTTAGGGTTCCTTAGGTCAACGCCCCGACTGTACTTGGGACATCGACGAAGGAGTCATGTTTCCAACGACTGCGCCCAACACCACTGCTCGGAGGCCCGCGCGGGAAGAGCACCTGGGGGGTGTCAGTGGGGCCTCCGCAGACCCTCTGACTCGTTCCTCGAGCCCGCAGCGAGAGGCGAAGCCCTCCTGCCCCAGCCCGCGCTCGTGCGCCCGGCCGAGTCCTGGCCATGCCGGTTCTCCTCCGCGCCGCCGCGCGGGGCCGCGGGGCCTTGGGGGCCAACCTGCAGAGCCCTCGCCCGCGCGCACAGGCCGAGTTTTCGTCGGGCGCTCTGCCCGGGAGCCCTCACATGATCCTTCCCCCCCCCCTCTCTCTGCCCCCCTCCCTCCCTCCGCAGTTAGTCAACATGGGTGCTCGTCTTCTCTCTTTCCCCCACTGCGTCCCGGCAGTGTTTTGCCCTCTCTCTGCCTCCCTCCCTCCCTCCACAGTCAGTCAACATGAGTGCTCGTCTTCTCGCTTTCCCCCAACCACGTCCCGACAGTGTTGTGCCCCCTCTGTGAATTCAATTTTCTTTGTGTACAGAGGATCAAACCTTGCTGGCCAGCGTGGGCCCCTAAACAGGGGGTGTTTCTAGCAGTCGATGTTGCGGAGCCTACGTGGGGCAATTTGTGTGGTGCAGCCTACGTGGAGGAATCCATGCGGTTCCGTCTGTGTGGTGCACGCTGTGGTGCAGCCTGTGTGGTGCAAGTCACTTTGACTGTCTTGAAGCTGTCCTCTCCACTGCTCGTGCAAGCATCCCACCCTCCCACCTGCGACTTGGTCGCAAGACTTCTTACGACCGTGACAGTGGGTACCAAATGGCACTTGGCAACGACAGCGACGCCGACGACGACAGCGACAATGACGACGACGACGCCGACGACGACGACTACGACGACACCGACGACGTCTCCGACGACTTTGACGACGACGACGACGACGACGGCGACAACGACGACGACTACGACGCCGACGCCGACGACGACGATGACGCCGACGACGACGGCGACGACGCCGACGACGAGGACGACGACGACGCCGACGACGACGACGCCGACGACGGCGACGACGCCGACGACGAGGACGACGACGGCGACGACGACCCCAACGAAGACGACGCCGACGACGAGGGAGGAGGACGACGACGGCGACAGCGATGACCATGACGAGGTAGGCGGCAAGACGGCGACGACGCGAACGACGAAGAAGGAGGGAGGACGGCGACGCCGACGACGACAACGACGAGGGAGGAGGGAAGACGACGACGACGACGACGACGGCGACGAAATAGGAGGGACGACGACGAGACGCCGACAACGGACGACGACGACGACGACGATGGAGGAGGAAGGACGACCACGGCGACAATGATGACGGAAACGACGACGACGCCAAAGAGGATGACGACGACGACGAGGAAAGACATGGGACGACCACGGCGACGACGACGACGAGGGAGGAGGGAGGACGGCGACGACGACGACGACGACGCAAGAGCCCGCGCGCACGCTTTTGTTGAAAATCCGTGTTGCGAAACCCTATGTTTATGTATGTTGCTTGGGCTTTGGAAAACATTCCGAAACCTAAGGTATTTGAAGGATTTCGGCATGCGCGCGCGACGACGCGCGCGCGTGCACTTCGTTTTTTTGCAGGGGATTCTCGCGACGGCACGCGCGCAAGGGCGTTCGAACGATTTCGACATGCGCGCGCGAAGCCCGTTTGGTAGTATGTTTTTTTTTGAATTTTGAAAAACCAATGGTTTCCTTAAGATTTCGCAAGAGCGCGCGTGTACGTTGTTTTTTTGAACATCAGTGTTGCGAAACCCTGTGTTTGTGTATTTTTTGGAAACTCGATTTTGAAATCCTTTCGAAACCGAAGGTTTTAGAAGGATTTCGGCATGCGCGCGCGACGACGCGCGCGTGTGCACTTCGTCCGGCTTTTTTGCAAGGGATTTTTGATTTTTAAATTTCTGATTATTCAATCGCTCACTCCGCCGGCCCGTATTGCATGATCGCTACTGCTTCGGCGCGGGCTCGGGGCCATTTCGGCGCCGCCGGAGGGAGGAAGATGAGGATGGGGAGGGGGAGGGGAGGAGGAGAAGAGGATGAGAAGGAACGGTGGAGGATGAAGACAAATATGAGGAGGAGGAGGAGGAGGAGGAAGAGAAAAGGGCGGAGGAGGAAGCCTCTCGATGGCATCTTGCGGCGCTCTTGGGACCAAACAGGGCCGTCGTCCAGATGCTTCTTTGGGAGGCCCTGGGGTCTGTTGAGAGGCCGTTCGGGGGCGCCTGGGAGACATTTTTGAAGCCTTGTAGGGCCTCTTTTGAGCCTCCTTGGAGCCTCCTGGGGTCTCTTGGGGGCCTCTTGGCGGCATCTTGGGCCATCTTGGGGGCCTCTCGGGGCCTCCTGGGGCCCTCTTGGGGCGGAAGGCTTGAGGTTTCGGTTCGTGGTCCCCATCTTGGGCCCCTCTTGGGGCCGTCTTGGGGCTCTCTTGGGCCGTCTTGGGCGTCTCTTGGGCCGTCTCGGGGCCCGTTTGGGCTCTCTGGGGGCCTTCTTGGGGGCCTCTTGAGCCGTCTTCGTGCGCTCTTGGGGGCCTCTTGGGCCGTCTTGGAGCACCGGAAAGCCGAAAATGCGACAAGGCCCAAATCCTTCCAAAACCATCGTAACATTTATGATTTTGGCCTCTCGGGGCGCTCTTGTGGGGCCTCTTGGAGGCCACTTGGAGCGTCTTGGCGGCTTCTTGGGCCGTCTTGGGATCATCTTGGAGCGTCCTCTGGGCGTCTCTGGGGCCTCTTGGGCAGTCTTGGGAGCCTCTTGGGGCCCTCTTGGCGCGCTCTGGGGGGCCTGAGAGGCCGTACCCAGGAGGAAAACCATCTCTGAGTAGACCTTCCCGGAACCTTCCAGGGACCTTTCCGGGCTGCGGTCGGGGTACTTTTCGCCAGGGGACCCCCAGGGGCCGCCCCGCGCGCCCGAACTAGAAGAATTGTGAACCAGTTACCGGAGATCTTAGCACGCCTCTGGCCCGTTGGGCCAGCGAATTGATAAATGAGTGTGCGCGCATCGTAGCTTGTTGCAAAGGATTGCGGGGGGGATGCCAGCCTGGCTGGGATAGTATTAATTCATATTTAGGATGGGCGATGGGGCAGAATCAGACGTAAATTGCAAAACGCAAAAGGGGGATCGTTTAACTACGGGGGGGGTAGAGTTGATTATTTTTCTTAGAAAGGAGAATCTGCGTGGTGCGCAGCGTGGCCGCCAGGCTGGCGCGCAGGCCCGGGCGACGGGCGCCGGCGAGGCGGTGACGGGGCGGCGACGGCGGCCACATACGTGGAAGAAAAAGAACTATGCACATACACCGATTCTGGCCAGGCCCATCCTGAGCCCAGGATCGGTGCATACGCCATCCTACCTTGGCCAGGAGACATATGCACCGATCCTGGGTCAAGGATGGGCCTTGCCAGGATCGGTGCATGTGCATAGTTCTCTTCGCCCAAATACGCCGCCAGACCGCCGCGCGGGCACAGACAACGGGCGGCGACGAGGCGGCGGCGGGGCGGCCACGGCGGCGCGGCGACGGGGCGGCGGCGGCGCCCGCAGGGCCGCCAGGCCGCCGCGCAGGCCCAGCGCCTCAGAGGAGAGGGAAGAGCCCCGAAGGGCGGGCGCCGTCGGGGCGTTCTCGCGGCGCTTTCCAGCGGTGCTCCCGCTGCAGCGTCGGCCTTCTCTCGGGATCGGCGCTCTGCTCCCGTCGTTCCGAACGGCGCTCTCGCCCCGGCGCGGGCCCCGAAGGGCGAGCACCCGAAGGGCGAGCACCCGAAGGGCGAGCACCGTTTGGGGGAATGGCAGTGGTCTTCCCTTTCTCTTGTTTTTTCCCGTCGGAACGTTCTCTCGGCGCTTTCCAGCGTCGCAGGCCTAGAGGTTGACACCAGCACCAAGATCGGCGGTGTGCCTCCACCGAGGGAGGACGATCCCGATCTCGGTGATGGTGGTAAGAACTCTGGCTTCCAAGGTGACCGAACTATTGCCACCAACACTGAAATCTAGGACCATCTCCCCCATGTGGAGGCACCCCCCTGTGCTGGTGTTGGTGCCAAGTTCCAGGCCTCCAACAACGGTGCTCCCACTGCAGCGCCGGCCTTCGTTCAGGAGCGGCGCTCTGCCCCCGTCGTGCAGAAAACGCGCTCTCGCCCAGGCGCGGGCCACACTTCTGGATCCTGATATCCTTCCTCGTTGCTGTCGCCCCCCTCCCTCTTCCCCTCCCCTCTCCTCCTCTGCCTTCCTCCAGCTCTTGTGCTCTTCCCGTTCCTTCCTGTCCTGCTTCTGCTGCTACTGTTCCTCCCCCTTCCTCATCCTCGTCCTCGTCCTCGTCCTCCTGCTCGTCCTCCTTCCTACTCGTCGTCCTGCTCATCCACCACCACCACCTCCTCTCCTCCTCCAAGCTCCCCTTTCTGATTGCGCATGACAGGATGGATTCGTCTGTGAGTTTCCAGGTTCGCTATGACGCCCGTCGACGGATTGAGGAAACACAGCGCAATGGGCAGGGATGGGTGGGAGGGGTAGGATGTCAGATGTGGCCCGAGCGCACCTAACTTGATCGCTCCTCCCTCCTCCCTCCCTCCCTCCCTCCCTCCCTCCCTCCCTCCTCCCGCTCCGTCTCGCCCAAGTTTTCGCCCTGCTCCCTCTGTACCCCGCCCCGCGCGCGGCCTTACAGGCGCCCGCCCGTGACGCGTGGCAGACAAATCTCGAGAGGTGGCGCCGCGAGGGCGGTGCTTCGACCCGCGTGACGGGATCGCCAGACAAAGGAAGGCCCTGGCGAGGGACCCAATCGGATAATTAGATGCAGCTGCGAGCATCGCGAGGCAGGTGAGAGGCAGGAGGGTGGCCCAGCAGCAGGACTGGGCCGCCGAGGAGGAGGAGGAGGAGGAGGAGGAGGAGGAGGAGGAGGAGGAGGAGGAGGAGGGAGGAGGAGGAGGAGGAGGAGGAGGAGGAGGAGGAGGAGGGAGGAGGAGGAGGAGGAGGAGGAGGAGGATCGAGGATCGAGGAGGAGGATCGAGGAGGACTGGGATCCATGGAGGCCCGCGGATTCGCGACGGGTCCCGCTTCCGAAACCGGCGCGCGCTGCCGCCGAAGGAGGCGGCACTGGCCTAGTTGCTGGGGCCACGGGGTGCCTTCCTCGATCCACGGATCACAAGTCCACATTGACTCAGGAGGGAACAAAAACACACACAGACACAATGCATCGTCGATTCCCAAGAACAGATGAGAAAATATGGACAATGGCGGGAAAGACAAATATCCAGAAACTATGCACAAATATGGGGAATCCTGGGATTTGTGTGTAGTCGTTTGTGTGCCCCAGGGCCCCTTGATTCACGTGCGCCCGAGAGGAGGTAGGTGGAGGGCGGTGTTTCGGTTCGCGTGATCTGTTTGCACCTCGTACATTCGCACCGGCAGCAGCCTCAGCTTGTTCTCACTTGTCGAAGTCGACGTTTTATGCTTCAACTCGATGCCTCGCTGCACTCGTCGGTCGTTACGAGTAGGTATCTCGGGATTTCCATAAACTAGTCTACTTCAAGCGCCTTCCTACTTCAATAATCGATCTGATTTTGCTGTTTTTCGTTATGCTCTGGGAGGACCTGAGACCAGTCCACCTAATCCGCCTTCCTACTTATGTTCTTACCTCCTTCTTCTGACCGACGGGTACCCGAAGAACGCAACAGCCGATAGCCAATGTATGGACAACGAAGACTCCTCTGCTCCTGCAAGCTGCCGTTGCTGCCGCTTCTGCTCAAAGGGAAGGTGTACTCCTTCAGCTACCTCCCCTCCCCCCTGGCTCACGCTTCCCCGCCGCGCGCCCGCCGCGCACCCCCGTTTCCCCCCCTCCCCCTTTCCCCCCCCCTCCCCCCCTCCCCTCCGCCTCCCCCCTTCCCCTCGCCCTGCGACAAAGATGTCTCGGGGGATGCGACTGCGAGTCGCCAGGAGTACCTACGTCGGACTCGTTCCGAGCGATGGCCGCAGGCGCTCAGCAGGGCTCAGCGGCTTGCTCGCAGGCGCTCGCGGTCTCGCGATCTCGGTCCGAGTCGCGGTGGGCCCCGCCCTCGCACCCTCCGCCCCGCCCCCCGCCCCCTGGCCTCCGCCGCTGAGGGCAGTGCTCGAGCTCCTCTTGCCTGTGCGTGCGCCCAGGCGGGGGCACACCGCGGAGGCGTGCCCGCGCTGGCCCTCGCTCCACCGCCCACCGCCCCGCGCCTCGCCCTCGCTCCTCCGCGATCCTGCCGCCCCTCCACCTCCCGGCCCTCCCTGCCCCGCCATGCGCCGGGAGGGCACACACCACAGCAGTGGGGGCGCGCACCAGGGAGCCATCTGCTTTTCGCCCGGGTGTCCTGGGCTTCTTCGCTCCTCGCGCTGCGCGGTGGCTTTCCCGCGGCCGCGGAAGGAGCTGCCGCGTTCGGGGTGCTCCGGGTCTCCCCGCACGTGTACCTCGCGTGCGGGTTCTCAGGGTTGGGTGTCTTGCGAGGGCTTCTTGCGGCCGCGCCCGCACTGTGCACCACCACCACCTCCCTCACCCTGGCTCTTCCAGGAAAGAAGGAAGGAACAGGAGGGTCGAGGAGGAGGAGGCGGAGGAGGAAGAGTAGGAGGCGGAGGAGGAGGAGGCGGAGGAGGAGGTGGAGGCGGAGGAGGAGGAGGCGGAGGAGGAGGATCAGGAGGGTCGAGGAGGGAGGTGGGATCGACGTGGTGGTGGCGGTGCATATGCTTGGGGCCCGCCATCAGTCGGGAGGGCAGCGCACAGGGTCCATGACACGCCGTCGCTGGGAGCCCGCCGTCAGCGTGCTGCTCCTTCGGCTCTGCCCGACACGCTCGAGCTCCTCTGGCGGGTCCCCCTCGGCGGCGTGCCGCTGATGTTCTTTCCCTTCAGGAGGGGAAACAAAAACACAAGCACAATTCATCGTCGATTCCGTGGAAAATATGGGAAACTATGGGAACTGGGGAGGGAAGAGAAAAATCACGAAAGTATGGGAACATATGGGGGATCCGGGTATTAGTGTCTATTTAATTTGTGTGTCCCAGGGCCCCTTCATCCTTGTTCCCCAGAAGATCCGCCACAAAAAGTACACACCCACACACTCTCCAATGTGGGATATAGCCAGGACCCCAGGTGAGGGGACCCGGTTAGTGCTAGGGCCCCGGAGCCTTCGTCAGAGTCACCGAACCAGGTTTGCCGTAGCTGGTGTGTTTTTAGGTGGCGGCAGTTCCAGTCAGTGGAACGGGGCGGGGGGGTGTCCCCCAGTACACATCATTGAACCAGGTCCCACTAGACCCAGTTCTGCCAACACCCTCCGATGGATCGTTCCTGGGCCTCAGGGGTGGGCGGCGGTGTATAAGTTTCCACTGCGGGCCAGCGGCTTTCTGCACTGCCGCACTCCCTGAAGCTACATGCAGAATTCGTCGGAGGGTGTCTGTGTACAAAGAGGCAGCCTTCGAGCTTCCTTCTTTGCGCAAGCACTGCAAAAAAACGAGCAGGTGCGCGCCCATGACTCTCGTGCCCGGCCGCCCCATGGCTTGTGCGGCCTTGGGTTAAGTCTGGCCTGTCCCTGTACAGGGGGAAAATTCAAAAATAGTTTAGAAATAGTCTGGGGGCGTGTTGTTTTTGACCATTTGGGGGTATTTCTTTGACAACTTTATTGTTTCCCCTCCAAAATCCCCCTGTAGGGGGACATGCCCGACCTAAGCCTTGGGCCGATCCTCTCCAGATCCCCGCCTGCCCTCTCAGGGGGGGCGCCGCCCTCGGCGCCGGAGCAGGCTCGCAGACCGCCTCGCCTTGCCCAGGGGGGCACGGCAGAGCGTAGGCCAAACAATTCGCAGGCCCGCGCGGAGTCTTCGCCTCGGCGCTAGACCCCCCCGCCCTGGCGCGCGGAGCGCGCCAGGGGCGGCGCCCAGGGGGCCTCCAGCCCGGGGGCCCGAGCCCCTCCGAGTTTTTTTTGTTGCTTGGGTCGTCCCTGGCCCCCCAAGGCTAGGCGAGGCTGTCTGCGCGCCTGCTCTGGCGCCGAGGGCGGCCCCCCGTGGCCCTGTCCCCCACCCCCCCCCCGCCTCCGCCTCCGCGGAGCCCACGCCACCCGCAGTGCGCAGAATCTGTCTGCAAGAAGGCGAACAACAGCGACTCCCACTGGGGTCGCCTACCCCTCTCAGTTCCTGCCCTCCCCGCCTCGAGGGCAGCAGCACCAGCAGGGGTCATCTGCGTGGCCCTCCCTCGATCGGCTCGTGGAGGTGGAAGCGTAGCCGCCCTCCCCCGTACTGAGGGGATTGAGGAGTAGGAGAAAACATGATAGGAGGAGGAGGAGGAGGAGGAGGAGGAGGAGGAGGAGGAGGAGGAGGAGGGAGGAGAGGAGGAGGGGAGGAGGAGGAGGAGGAGGAGGAGGAGGAGGAGAGGAGGAGGAGGAGGAGGAGGAGGAGGAGGAGGAGGAGGAGGAGGAGGAGGAGGAGGAGGAGGAGGAGAGAGGAGGAGGAGGCGGAGGAGGAGGAGGAGGAGGAGGAGGAGGAGGAGGAGGAGGAGGAGGAGGAGGAGGAGGAGGAGGAAGGAGGAGGAGGAGGAGGAGGAGGAGGAGGAGGAGGCGGAGGAGGAGGAGGAGGGAGGAGGAGGAGGAGGAGGAGGAGGCGAGGGCCCGAGGCCCATCGTGGCCCTCCTCCTCCTCCTCCTCCTCCTCTTTTGCCTTCCTGCTTCGGGGGCAGTCTCAGCCGCTTTATCACCAGACGGCGGCCACCTGCGCGGTCCTCCCGGCCATGGCGGTCCGCCGCCGCGGGCGCACCGCCGCCAGGCCGCTCGCCGCCGCGGCCCTGCTCGCGTGGCCGGCCCGCCTCCGGGGCGGGCGCTCGGCCGCATTCGCCCCGCCGCCCCTCGGCGGCCGCGCGCGGCGGTGGGCTGGCGCCGGGGCGCGGGGCCCCCGGCGCCGGGCGGGCCCGCCAGAGCTGGCCGCCCCCAGGGGCTTCGCTCGGCGGCGAGCGAGGGGGGGGAGGAGGAGGAGGAGGAGAGGGCCTCGGCGGCGGGGCTTCTCAGAAGCCCTCGCGCCTTCTGAGGTTTTTTCTCTTGCTCTGGTCTTCGGGGAGGGGCTCGGGAAGCTTCTCGGGAGGCCGGGGGACTTCCGAGGCTTCTGAGAAGGCCTTCTCCTTCTCAGTTGCCCCCCTCGCTCGCCGCCGATTCTCGGCGGAGGCAAACGGGGTGGACCCAGACATGCTCTCGTCCCCCTATCGCTCCCCCCTCCACGCGGGCCCCCCCCCCTCCGTTCCCCCCCTGTCCCCCCCCCCCCCACTCGGTGACCCCCCCCCTCTCTCCCGCGGGCCGCCCGCCCCCCCCCCCGTGTTGCCCACCGCCGGGCCTTCGAGCCGCCGGAGCCGCGGCCCCTGGCCGTGACGCGCCCGGAGCTGCTGCCGGCCCTGCTCGGCGGCGGGCTCGCCCTGCTGGTCCCGGGCGGCGCCACGGGGGGGTCGCCATCGTCGGGGGCGGCCAGGAGGTATGACGAGGAGACAGCGTTCTTAAAAATCAGATTGAAAAGAAAATATATTTTTCTGGCTTTGTACGGCGTCGGTTGCTCCAAGTGTTTCGATAGTAAAACTGAAGCTACAGGCCTGGGACTTTGACTGGCAGACGCGGCATAACCAGAGTGATGACCTGGGGTCAAGTCGGGCCGGTCCCTCTACAGGAGGAGTGTTCAAAAATAGTCAAGAATATAGTCTGGGGACGATGTATTGTGGGGGGGCAGGCCCGACCTGCACTGGGGGGGCGGTGGATCTGACCCTGAGATCCTGGCGTTGCCGTTTTTGTCGAGCCAGGCGTTTGCGCCCAGTTGCGGGCCCCGGGGCCCTCGCAGCTGGACTCGGCTCGAAACACGACGCAGAGAGGTGGGGTCCAGGGCTCTGGGCGTGCTTTCTTCACGATGTTGCAGTTTTTTCGCTGCGTCAAATCCCAGATTTCAAGACATCTCTCCATCTCCAGATTTCACGGCGCCTCTTCCTATTTTGATGCGTCCCGAGCCCCTCCCCCCCTGGGCCGCGCAATGCCGCCGGCCATGATTTGCGCCCCCCTTCTTGGGCGCCCCCCTCGTGGCCGCCCCCGACGTCGGGCGGGGCCAGGACAAGGGACCAATTTTTGGCTGCCGTTGTCTCAGCTGGCTGTGCCCCGAGGCCAGCTCGAGCCGATTCAGTTCCAATAGCCCGACCATCCGAAGCGGGTCGATGCTTGCATTGGTGCTGCTGCGCATCCTGTCGCAGAGATCCGATTGGGTTCCGAATCCTTGCACCCCGAACTCCCCACTGACCCACCACGCGGTGCGGTCACCACACTTGGACCAATTGTGGTGACCGCACCGCGTGGTGGGTCTGGGGATTCGGGGTCACCGCACGGCTTTGGGACTCGGATCTTTCTCCGAAGACGTTTTGGACGACTGGTGCCTCGAGTGTCCCCAAACCGTGCAGTGAGGGACCGCTCGGTGGTCGTTGGGGATTCGGAGGTCACCACGCGGTCCGTCACACGGTGGTGGAGCCGTCGGAGATTTGATTTTTCCCATTTGCGATTTTTCCTCGACTTCGGCCTTCGGGGCCGTTTTCGGGCCACTTCGGGCCCTGGGACCATTCAAATCGGAGCCACGACGGAAATGGGAAAAGAGGTCAAGCCGCGCATTCGAGATTTGAGGTTCGAATTTCGAGATTCGAGGTTCGAGGTTGTCTGGGATTTTCGTCTGTTCTGGGCGGTTTTCCATTCTCGAGATGCGTTCCAGCGGCTGCGCCTCGCCGAGAGGATTCCGGGGGTGCTCAGATCGTCTCGAACGGCCGCCGAAGAGCCGAGCTCTGATCTGCAGGCCAGGATGCAGAGTCTGTTTCGACATGATCGATCCGACTCCATGTCGAGTTCGGCCAGTATGCCTCGCTTTGGTTCCGACATTTCGACGATCTGGCGCGGCCCGATACTTGCATGGCGCTGCTGTGCATCCTGGCGCGGCCGCTCCGATTCTGCTTTCGACTCCTTGCCGGTGCAGCCAGGCCTGGCGCAGATACCGATTCGATGCGAGCTCCCGAGTCGACGCCGACGGAGCCCGCCTCTGAGGCTCGGGCCGCACCGAAGGGCAGGATCGGGAAAGGGGAGCCGGCGGAAGCAAATGTCGACCTCCCAAGAGATGACAACATTATTGGGTTCAGGGCTTCGGAGTCGGCCATCCACTACAACATGCTTCTGCTGTCTGTTCGGGTCGGACGGGAGCCTCCGAGCAGGACGCACGGCACCAGCACGTCCTCCTGCGTCCCCAGGGGCGGTCTCTGGCAGGCCTGACCCGGGTGGGAGCCGTCGGCCCCGCCCGCCGCACACTCCACGCCGAGCGGGGCCTGGGTGCCCCACCCTGCCCAGCAACACGCGCGGGGGCTCCTCCTCCGGGGGCCACTCGCCGATCTGTCGGCGATGCACGGTCGAGCCCGCGCTGTCGCTTTTTCCTCCGGGGCTGTCGCCCCTGTCGCTCCCCCTCGCTGCCATTGGGGGGGGGGTCGCCAGCTCTTCCTGGGGGTCACCAGCTCTTCCTGGGGATCGGGCTCGAAGAGCCAGGGATGCGTTTGAGCAGGCCTCCGCCTCGAGTCGGCGGCGACGCCCCGCCGGTGGCCCCCTCTTGGCGCTGCCTGGTGGTGCGATTCCTGCCCGTGTTCGTTGTCCGGCAGAGCAGGGAAGGGCGCCAGCAGGAAGCAAGCTTTCGGAGGCCCGCGCGGATCTCTCGTGACAGCGGTGGACCCCCCCCCCACCCCAGGCAGCGCGCTGTGGCGCCGCCAGGGGCTCAGCGCCGACCCGAGAGCTCCGCGCGGGACTCCGAGAGGCTCTGCGCCCGTGCCTCCTCTGCTCTTCCGTCCGTGGGCTGGCGCCCGGGGCTGCGGGCCGACGGGGACGGGGCCAGGTACGCCCTGCGGCTCGGCCCGCTCCAGTTCCGCGACGGCAGCCTGGCGACCGACGGGAAGCTGAAGCTTACCAGCCTCGAACGTATCCCTATCCCTAAGATTGACACGCCAAAAGGCGATGACAATCTTAGGGATTCGCCCTCAAAAAATAAGGGAATCCCTAAGATTGTCATCGTGATGAGGAGGTGCCCAGCATAGGGATAGGGATATGTTCCAGGCTGGTAAGAAGCGCCCCGCGGAGCCCCTGATCCTCTACGAGTACGAGGGGTCGCCCTTCTGCCGGAAGGTGCGGGAGGCCCTCTCGATGCTCGACGTCAGCTGCGAGATGCGGCCGTGCCCAGGCGCGCGGTCGGGCTTCTCGCGGCAGCTGGCCGACCGCACGGGGCGGATGACCGTCCCGTACCTAGTGGACCCGAACTCGGGGAGGGAGATGTTCGAGTCCGACGACATAGTGGACTATCTGTTCGACGCTTACGGGCCCGGCCGGGGGGAGGTCCGGCCAAAAGACAAACGACACTGCCCCGCCTACGGCCCTCCAGGTTGCGCTGCGGCTCATCGTGGGCCGTGGCGTATACCACGCAAGAGCCCACGCAAGTTTTCATGGTATTCGCTGATTAAGGCTCTTGGGGCCGTGGGTTGGCTGGTGACGAGGTTCCCTTCTTCCTGAGGGAGCCCTTCTCCGCAGTGACCGGCGGCTACGCCACCATGCTGCGTGGCCTGGCCGGCTCGAGTCCTGACCCTGCTGCCTTGCCAGGCAACACGGAGCGGAGGGCCCTGGAGCTGTGGGGCTACGACGCGTCGCCTTTCGTGAAGCTCGTCAGGGAGAAGCTGTGCTCGTTGATGCTGCCTCATGTCCTCGTCCCCTGCGCGCGCGGCTCCGCGAACCGAGACATCATGATGGAGCAGACGGGCGTGCAGTTCCAAGTGCCCTTCCTGCGGGATGCGAACACTGGTGTGGAACTCTTCGAGGCTGCGGAGATCTGCGAGTATCTTGATGCCGTGTACACGGAGAAGCCGTGACGAGGCGGCCACAAGCGCGACCCGCTCTGCCTGGCCTCGAAAAGTTATACCTATACGACCACCCTTTGGGTGATAAGGAGGTTGTGGGGGAGGGAGGGGAAGGGGGAACCAACAACTGACTCAATCGATCTCACTATCGATCTCACTCAACGGGACACCACGGGCCAGAACGGGAAACCACGGGACACAACGAAACACCGCGGGACACCTCTCGATCTCACTTTCGGTCTCATTATCGCACTCAACGGGACACCACGGGACACCACGGGACACCGCGGGACACCTCTCGATCTCACTATCCGTCTCACTAATGATCCCACTATCGATCTCACTCAACGGGACACCACGGGACACCACGGGACACCTCGGGACACCACATCGATCTCATTATCGATCTCACTATCGATCTCACTCAACGGGACACCACGGGACACCACGGGACACCACGGGACACCTGTCGATCTCACCATCGATCTCACTTTTTGGGACACCTCGGGACACCACGGGACACGTCCGGGCACCACATCGCTCTCGGTATCGATCTTACTATCGATCTCACTCAACGGGACACCACGGGACACCACGGGACACCTGTCGATCTCACTATCGATCTCACTTTTTGGGGCACCACGGGACACCTCGGGCCACCACATCGATCTCAGTATCGATCTCAGTGTCGATCTCACTATCGATCTCACTATCGATCTCACTATCGATCTCACTATCGATCTCACTCAACGGGACACCACGGGACACCACGGGACACCACGGGACATTGCGGGACACCGCGAGCCAGCGCCGGACGGCCGGACGGACGGGCGGGCGGGGGAGAATCATTTGTCTTGATTTCGCCCTGGCAACGGCGGACACCACGGGACACCACGGGACACCACGGGACACCGCGGGACACCGGGAGCCACCGCCGGACGGGCGGGAAGGGGGAGGATCATTTGTCTTGACTTCGCCCTGGCAACGGCGGACACCACGGGACACCACGGGACACCACGGGACACCGCGGGACACCGCGGGCCACCGCCGGACGGGCGGGCGGGGGAGGATCATTTGTCTTGACTTCGCCTTAGCAACGGCGGACACCACGGGACACCACGGGACACCGCTGGACACCGCGGGCCACCGGCCGCCGGAGGAGAATCATTTGGTGCGGCCGCGGCCCAGCCACAGGAGGATTTCGGGACACCAGCGGGATACCGGCGGGACACCGCGGGCCACCGGCCGCCGGAGGAGAATCATTTGGTTTGGCCGCGGCCCAGCCACAGGAGGATTTCCTCTCGCCCGCCCACACAGCTTCGCCTCGCCCGTACGCACGCACGCACGGCACGCACGACACGAACCCGAAACCGAAATTGATTTCCCGTTAGGGGGGGTCTTCGTTTCACGTCGGACTCACCCCCCAACCTCCGACCAATCGTCCACCGCCAGAGTATATCCATATCGACCGCCTTGGAGCCGTGCCTCGGGATTTTGACAGTCCCTCGAGGAGTGCTGGAGTATGGATACCTGCGCGTTCCTGAGGGTGAGGAAGTGTCCGCGTCCACCGCTCCCCAGGGGTCCAGGGCAAGGCCCGATTGTCACAGCCTCAAAGGGATCGCGTTTCCTGGGCTCGAGCGGAGTTCATCAATCTCGATGCGCCGCTAGGAGTTCGAACGTGTATATTTTCCGCTTTCCCCCTCATCGCCTCTCCTCGCCTCTTCTCGGCCCCCCCCTTTTCTCTTTCTCTTCTGGACGCCTCCTTCGTCCCTGCGCCACGCTCTTGGGCAGCATGAGGCGGCACTCGAGGGCAGCAGGGGCTACCTTCTTCTGCTGTCTGGGGGCAGGCGGACTCGCACCCCCTCGAGGCGCAGTCAACCTAGGAGGAGGAGGAGGAGGAGGAGGAGGAGGAGGAGGAGGAGGAGGAGGAGGAGGAGGAGGAGGAGGAGGAGGAGGAGGAGGAGGAGGAGGAGGAGGAGGAGGCCTTCTCAGAAGGCGGCGGTGCTCACCAGACGCCTCCTCCGGCCTGCCGAGGAGCCCCGCGTGGCTTCGGACAGGGCTCCGGAAGCTCCTCGGGAGGCCAGAGGCCCTCCTGACGGGTCTGTTTTCCACCACCACCACAAGTTGGAGGGGGAGGGGGTCCTCCTTCTCCTCGTCCTCCTCCTCCTCCTCCTCCTCCTCCTCCTCCTCCTCCTTCCCTTCTCCAACTTATGGTGGTGGTGGTGGTGGTGGAGACCAGGCCCACCACCTCCGAACCTTGCGAGAAGGCCCGCCCCGTCGGCCGCTTCCCCCCATGGGGCGCGCCGCCGAGGATCTGCTGGCCTGCGGCCCATCCCGCCACCGCGTCTGGGCTGCAGGCCAGAGGCCTCTCGGGGCCCCCTTGGCCCGTCTCGGGGCGCGCGTGGCCCAGAAAGAGTCCCGCGGGAAGCGCCGGGGACCCCCTGAAGAGTTCGAGACTGTTGGGGTCGGGCCCCCCTGCAGGTTCAATCCTGAGGGCTGGTGTCCCGTCTTCTCAGTTGCCAGGCTGTTTACCATTCGCTTCAAGGGCTTCCTGTTCAAGTTTGCCATCGTCCTTATCAAGGTTTTCTTTACGAGGCCGGCTACTCTCAGCCAGGTTTTGCACGTGTCGTCCTTTTGCACGGTACCCGCAATTCCAGCCATCTGGCCCCAAGGGCTTCCTTGACAAGTATGATCAAGCATGGTGCTCTTAACTTGCGGTGGACATTCTGGTGTTCTTCAACTCCTACAAGTCGTGTGTTGCTAGAAGTGCCCCTGTCCCAAGGTGCCCCCAGGATTTCAATGGAGGCCCCCACGGCCTCCAGAGCACCCCTCACGAGTCCCCGAGGGCCCCAGGGGCTCCAAACTTGGGTGACAAGCTGGGAAAGATCGTGTTCTACCGCTGCTGGCGGAAAACCGGGGGGGGTCACTACCGGTTCGAACCCCTCCCCCCCCCCCCCCTCCGGAAAACCGGGGGGGGTCACTACCGGTTCGAACCCCTCCCCCCCCCCCCCCCAGCTCATCATGAAAAGGGGGGGGGGTCACTACCGGTTCGAACCCCCCCCCCCCCCTCGAAAACCGAGTGGGGGTGCGGACAGTGGTGGGGACGGTGTTGGTGGGGACAGTGGTGAGGGCGGGGACAGTGGGGGGACAGCGTGGTGGACAGTGGGACAGTGGTGGGGACGGTGGTGGTGGGGACAATGGTGGGAACAGGGGGGACAGTGGACAGTGGTGGGAACGGTGGTGGTGGGGACAGTGGTGTGGGGACAGTGGGAATGAGGTGGAAACACTGGGACAGTGGAGGGTACAATGGTGGTGGAGACACTGGTAAAGGCGGTGGCGAGGACGGCGGTGGGACAATGGGACAGAGGTACAGTGGGGACAGTGGTGGGGACAGTGGGGACAGTGGTGGAAACAGTGGGACAGCTCAGTGGGACAGCGGAGGAGTCAGTGGGACAGTGGGGACAATGGGGATAGGCAGTGGTTGGGTCCGTGGAGACAGTGGGGAGAGTGGAACCGTGGTGGGAACAGTTGTGGGAACAGTGGGGACAGTGCGACAGTGGTGGGGGCATTGGTGGGGACAATAGGGACGGTGGTGGAACCAGTGGGGACAGTGGTGGTGAGGACAGTGGTGCTGGGAACAACAGTGGGGGATGTGATGCGAGCGGTGGTAGGGACCGGGAGTCGTTTGCTGGCGGTGCGTGGGGGGGGGGTCGAACCGGTAGTGACCCCCCTCCGGTTTTCGAGGGGGGGGGGGGTGTTCCAACCGGTAGTGACCCCCCCCGGTTTTCCGGATCCGGAGGGGGGGGGGGGGAGGGGTTCGAACCGGTAGTGACCCCCCCCGGTTTTCGAGGGGGAGGGGGGGGGGGGGGGTTAGGGGAGGGGGGGGGTTTTGCTGGGAGGGAGGGGGGGTGGGGGGGGGGGGAGGGGTTCCGGCAGGGGGTTCGGGGGGGTTCGGAGGGGGGGGGGGGAAACCCCCGGGTTCCGGAGGAAAAGGTTGGCAATTTTCCACAGTAAAGCGGCGGTGGATCACGCTCTCTCCAAGCTGGGGGCGCCTTGGGCCAGGGGCACTTCTAGCAACTCTCGATACAGGGCCTCCCACCTCGCGCAGGTGACCCGCTGCTCGTACGCAGCGGCACGACCCTCCCGCACCCCTGCGCCGACCTGCACGGTCTGACCGTACTCCGCCTTGCCTTTTCTCTCGTTTCTTGCTCTTTCGCCTCGTGCCTTTGTTAGCCTCTGGTGCAGCCCACCGCTCGCTCTGACTGGCGCCGGACCGTCTCGCACACCCCGGCGCCCGCGGACTCGAAGAAGTGCCTGAGTCCTTTGCTGCCCCTCCCGCCTTGTGAGAATCCTTGGCGGAGGCCGCCAGGGCGATATGAGAACCTTGGTTGTCATACCAAGCGTTTTCTAGGACGACAAGTGATCAGGCACATCGCCTTCACGACAACCAGTGGTTACAACACGCGTGTGGTGTTCAAGTTCGTTGCTTATGCCAGCTGCCGGTCCTCGTGCGTCGTAGGCCGCCCCTCCCCGCCCCGCCACGCCCCGGCGTGGCGCCGAGCAGGCTTCTCTCAGAATCCGCGAGGGCCTACGAGAAGGCACGCCGTCTTCTGAGGAGGCCTTCTCTCAAGTGCGTAAAAAACGCCCCTGCCCTGGTTTATGAGGCGCTGTGCGCTGAACCTCCTGTGGGCTGACAGGGTAAACCCTGCGTATCGCGCGTGCCACGAGGCGTTCTGGCGGCTCTCTGGCCTGTGGGAGCTCCCATGAGGTTTACTCACCACGCACTTGTAACCCAGGGTAGGGGCGTTTTTTCATTCCTCAATTCTCCGACTCATTTCCCCTCCCTCGCTCGCCGCCGAACGTCGAGGCGCGGATTCTCATTCCTCGGGCGGCGCGCGAGGGGTCGGCCCACGAGGCGAGCCGAGCTCGCCGCGGTGATCGCCGCGACCCCGTCGTGAAGGAGGCCGCCCAAACTGCACGGCGGCCACGTGCCTGCCGCGCGCCTGGCGCCGCCTGCGCGGGCCCCGCCGCTGCACCGCCGAGGGAGCGCGCGCCGCCTTCCTTCGGTCCTCGAGAGGCTGCTGGGGCCGCGCCCCTCGCGGGCCCCGTTCTTGCCGGGGGGAGAAGGAACACGAGGAGGAGGAGGAGGAAGAGGAGGAGGAGGAGGAGGAGGAGGAGGAGGAGGAGGAGGAGGAGGAGGAGGAGGAGGAGGAGGAGGAGGAGGAGGAGGAGGAGGAGGAGGAGGAGGAGGAGCACTGCTGAAGAGGGGGGCCCTTCCGCCACCGACGGCGCGGCCTGGACGGCCTGGGACCCCCCGCGGCCCACGACCCCCGCCGCAGGTGCTGGAGCCGCATCCGGCGCACCTTCTTCCGCCACGAGCACCGCGCCTACCGCCTCGTCGAGGGGCAGTGGACGCAGGCGCCGCGGCGCGAGCGGCCCAGCGTGGGTCGGGCTCGGGCTCGGGCTCGGAGGAGGGGGAGGGGTGAAAGGAACGTGGGAGGGAGGAAGGGAGGGAGGATGAGGATGGGGATGGGGGTGCTGCTGCTGATGAGGAGGATGAGGAAGGCGATGATGACGCTGCTGCTGATGGTGATGATGACGATGATGATGATGCTGATGATGCTGCTGATGATGATGCTGATGATGATGGTGATGGCGATGCTAATGATGAGGTTGATGATGTTGGTGATGCCAATGGCGATATTGACGGTTAGGATGACGACAGTGCTGAAAAGGATGGTGACGATGAGGGTGGACATGTATTAATGATGGTGATGCTGCTGATGATGATGGTGGTGATGACGATGATGACGATGATGATAATGATGCTGATTACGATGATGATGCTGATGCTGATTATGTGGGTTATGATGATGCTGATGATGATGATGATGCTGATGATGGCGATATTAATGATGATGTTGATGATGGTGGTGATGTCGATGACGATATTGATGGTTAGGATGATGACAATGCTGATGAGGATGGTGATGATGACGGTGGGGATATTCATGATGGTGATGCTGCTGCTGCTGCCGAAGATGATGCGGATGATGATGCTGATGATGATCATGATGATGATGATGATGGCGATGCTGATGTTGACGTTTATGATTATGGTGGTGATGGTGATGATGGTGATGATGGTGATGATAATAATGATGCCGGTGAGGAGGAGGAGGTGGAGGAGGAGGAGGAGGAGGAGGAGGAGGAGGAGAGTAGGAGGTGGAGGAGGAGGAGGACGAGGTGGGGGGAGGAGGAGGAGGAGGATGAGGAGGAGGAGGAGTATGAGGAGGAAGAGGAGGAGGAGGAGGAGGAGGAGGAGGAGGAGAAGAGGAGGAGAGGAGGAGGAGGAGGAGGAGGAGGAGGAGGGGAGGAGGAGGAGGAGGAGGAGGAGGAGGAGGAGGAGGAGGACCAGTGTAAACCCAAGACTGACCAACGATGTTGGAATCCACCCTCCCTCCAAGCTCTCTCTTCATAGGCCCCTACAAGGGTTCATTTCTACTTCGGGAAGTGCCCCGTTGGAGGACAACCGTGGAAAACTCGGAAGCGTGCCAAAGCTGCATTCTCAGGACTTCAGCGCCGCGGGTCAACCTGACTGTTGTGTCCTGACGATCTTGAATCGCGTCAGAACACCATTCCTGGGATTTCAACACCGCTAATCAACGCAGTTGTTGCGACCTGACAGTCCTCAGTCGTTGCAAGCACCATTTCTGGTGCGTTAGCCAAAAGAACCAGTGAAACTCTGGCAATCTTTTGAAACGAATGTGCGCGCCGCTAAGGCGAGAGGTACATTTGAAAAGGAACCGCCCTCAGTCCGTGAACCGGTTGCAGTTTTTGATATCAAAAAGGTGCGCAGCGCTAAGGCGAGAGGCACATCCGTCCTTCATCCGTGAAAAGATTGGAGCTTCTATCACATAATAGGTGCGCGGCGATAAGACGAGAGCCACATTTGAAGCCGACCTGCCATCAAGACGTGACGCTCTTGTACATTTTCATAACGGATGCCGTGATTTGTTTTGCCATAGCGTGCGCAGCGCTGGGCGATACTAGCCTTTTGAAGACGACCTGCCCTCAATCCGTGAAGATCTTGCAATGTTTTTAAAACATGTGCGCGGCGCTTGGGCGGGCCACATACTGAAAACGACTTGCATTCAATACGTGAGCGTGTTCCTGGTTTTTCCATGCATGGAAGTTTTTAAGCTTCAGGCCCACAACTGGTAAGGAATTATCAGACGAAACGACTGGCCTCGGGGTGCGACAGGGAGGAGTTATTCATAAGCAAGAGGAGGCGGAGGTGGAGAAGAAAGAAGAGGTGGAGGAGGAGGACGAGGAAGACGAGGAGGAGGACGAGGACGATGTGATGATGAGTGGCAGAAGGGAGGGAGGGAGGGAGGGAGGGAGCGAGGGGAGGGGGAGGGGGAGGGGGAGGGGGAGGGGGAGGGGGGGGGGAGGGGAGGAGGAGGGAGGAGGAGGAGGAGGAGGAGGAGGAGGAGGAGGGAGGAGGAGGAGGAGGAGGAGGAGGAGGAGGAAGATGATGAGGAGGAGGGGGAGGATGAGGAGGATGAGGAGGAGGAGGAGGAGGAGGAGGAGGAGGAGGAGGAGGAGGAGGAGGAGGAGGAGGAGGAGGAGGAATAGGAGGAGGAGGACGAGGAAGTGGGGGAGAACGAGGAGGAGGAGAAGGAGGAGGAGGAAGAAGAGGAGGAAGAGGAGTCGGATCCGGGTGGAACATGGAGAGGGACCACAAGGCACGGAGCGCTGGAACAGTGTCGAGTCTGGTCGGAAATTGTAGGGTGGTCGGGCCCAAGAAATGAGCTGCCAGGAGGTTGCGGAGGTCAGACCTGCTGGCTAGAACAGGGTCGGACCCGGTCCAAAAATTGTAGGGTTGGGGGAGCCCAAAAACAGATCTAGGACAGGGTCGGATTTGGTCGGGAAATTGCATGGTGGGTGGTCCCAAGAACAGAGCTGCCATGAGGGTGCGGAGGTCAGACCTGGTGGCTAGGACAGGGTCAGATCCGGTCGGAAAGTAGGGCGGATGGGGCCCACAGACAGAGCTGCCAGGAGGGTGCGGAGGTCAGACGTGGTGGGAAGAACAGGGTCGGATCCAGTCCGTTCAGGATGGGATCTCCAGGGGGGGATCTTATCGGGAATTGCCTCACACGCCTGGATACCCACAAGGGGTCGGCGGCTTTTTTCGAGACGCTGGGTGTCTGGGGATGCTCTCCTCCCTCTGCCGGGCGCTCGAAGGACCCCCCCCCCGCCGAAGCAGGTGCCGGACCCGCGCGGCCCGCGGTTCGCCCCGCGGCGACGGCCGCGCCCGCGCGGCGAGCGCAGGGAGGAGCGCCGGCGCCTCTCGTGGGCTGCCCGCCCTCTGTCCAGAGGTCCCGCGTCTCGAAAAAGTCGAGACGGACGTTGCAGTTTTCGGCCTGTCGGGGTCCCCTTTGCCAGGCCTCGGGGCCTTCGAAAAACGACTCGGGATGAAGAGCCGCTCCCAGGGAGGTGGTCGAGAGGCGGGGGGGGGCCGCGTGTCAAAAGAATCGGGACGCCGGATGTCTGGGTCTGCCATGGCACCACTTCCACCTCCTCCTCCTGCTCCTCCCCCTCCGCGTCCCCTGTGTTGCTCTTTCCTAAGGTCTCACCGTCTCGTCGTCGTCCTCCTCCTCGCCCTCTTCGTCCCTTGCATGACCCGCTCGACCCCTCGTTTGCAGGACAGAGGACGAGGTGCTAGCCGTGTGTGTCCTCGTAACTCCGCCGTTAGCATACATTCGCGTGCGCTAGCGTCTGCTAGTCGATGAGAAAGCGCCGATTCAGTTTGCGTCGATTAGCGTTGATTTGCAAGAGCCAGCAAGATGGATGGCGCGTTATGGCGTTACGGCGACATGGCCCGAAAACCAAGGGCAACGTTAGGGGGAATAGGCTCAGGGAGGTAGGCATCGACCTCCAACCGCCTATTGATCGCCGATAGGGTCCCGAAAGCCCACCCCGCCCAGGAGGGTGTGGACAGATTCGCCACTGGGGGCCTATCGCCGGTCTATCGTCGATTCATCGCCGATTCCAGGTCGATGTTACCCCCCTGAGCCAGTCCCCCCCCCTTGCGTTCCCCCTCACTGCCCGTGCTGTCCCATCTCTGCGTCCATCTGTCTGCCTGTCTATTGGTCCGTCGGTCCGTCTGTCCGTCTCTCTGTCCCCGTCTGAAGGGGATACGCTCATGAACGAAGAGGGTGGGGGTCGAGTGTTTGGGGTTGTACACGTTGAATTCGACACTCGGGCAGTGAAGGGCGAGCAGCCTCCAAAACCATTGGAGCTGTTGCCGTGCAAGCGGCGCGCATGCCCTGGCTTTTTGGCACGAGTGGGCCGCGGCCCAGGGGCGGAGCTGGGAGGGAGGGCTTCGGAGAGGACCTGGGGCGGAGCCGGGGAGGAAGGGGGGAGGGTCTGGGGAGAGCGAGCGAACGAGCCACTGAAACGAACGGCTCCGCGCACTAGAACACAGCTGAGCAAGACGGTGAAACTATGATTTCAAAGAGCGACGCCTGCAAATTTGCTTCTAGTAGGAGGAGGAGGAGGAGAAGGAGGAGGAGGAGGAGGAGGAGGAGGAGGAGGAGGAGGAGGGGAGGTCTCGAACTCAACCGCAGAGGCCTCGCCCTCAGCCTTCCCCCTCCCCCTCCTCCTTCTCCTTTCCTCCTCCTCATCCTCCTCATCGTCGATCCTCCCCGTCGTCCTCTGCCATTCATGCTCGTTCCCCTCCCGCCCTCCCGCTTCGTCGCCCCAGGCTCCTCATCGCCCCTCCCCCCTCTCCTACCTCTGCCCTCCTCTCCGTCCACTGGTAAGGGTCGGGTGGCCTCGAGCCATCTCTCGTGGGCTCCTCGCCAAAGTCAAGGAGGTCCTTCCCACTCGAGTGAATGTGTTTTATGTTGCGTCCAAGCTTGCACTTGGAGCGACGCAATGCAACGGGTTCGACTGCGCCAGCGTTCGCGCGTAAGGTGGCCGCGTAAGGCAGCGCAGAAGCGCCCTTGTTTCCAGTCTGGCGTGCCTTACTGGCGGCCCGCTCAAGCTGCCGCGTAAGGTCGCTACGTCGTCTCGCGTAAGACCCGTTTCTGATCATTGTTCACTTGGGGTTCGCAATCGCTGCTCAGTGCCCAGTGCCCCTCTAAGCTTGCACTTGCGCGTCCCAGTTTGCACTTGTTGCTCAATGCTCAATGCTGAAGGCCCACTCGTTGCTCACTGCTCACGCTCAATGCCAAATGCTTCAGGTTCGCAATCGTCCCGACCCCGATAATGGGCGTTGACTAAACGGCCCCGGGCGTTTGCCAAACGGCCCAGCCCTGCTCGATTCCTCCCCCGGGTGCGTTTATTGAATGGCTTCGCTTGTCGGGGTGCTTATCATGAATGTTTTCTTTGCTCTGTACAGTCGAACTCCGACGACAAGGACGGGTAACCTTCCCAAGGGTCCCCTTGCTTCCTTGCCTGTTCGGTCCATCCTTAACCATTCTGTATGGCCTCTCCGACACGCGCGTCCAAGGAGCTGACATTCTTGTCGCGCATCCTCATTATCAGTTTTGACTCGCACCGTGAGCTCCAGTGCTCAGTGCCCCCCACCCCCCCCAGGCAGGGCCGCCTGCGATCTGATTCGATGCGATTCGATTCGCCCGCTGCGGCCGCGATTCCAATTCGATGCCATCCGGCTCTATTCACCGGCGTCGGCCAGGGCCAGCCGGAAGCGGGGCGCGGCGATTCGAAACACTCGATTTTTTCGACGATTCGCTGGCGATCCGATCCGCCCTCGATCCAGTCCAACTTCGCCATCCGATCCGGCGCAGACCTGCCAGGAGAGCCTGCGGCGTCAAATGGCCGCGCCGGTGCGCCCGGCCTGAGCGGCGCGCAGGCCCTCGGCAGCGGGTCGGCCGCCGCGCGCGGCCTTCAGCCCCGCGGGCAGGGATGCCCAGCGCGCGCCTGGCGGCGCGCGGCGGAAGAGGAGCGGAAGGGAGGGGGGAGGGGCGAGGGGGGAGGGAGCGGGGTTGGGGAGGGGCAGCAGAGGGGGGCGGGGAGGGGGCGGCGGGGGGGGGGAGCAGAGAGGAGCGGAGGGGGGGGGATGGGGGGGGGGGAGGAGGAGCGAGGGGAGGAGGGGAAGGAGCGAGGGCAAGGGAAGGGGGGGGGAGGGGGCAAGAGCGAGGGCGGGGGAGCGAGGGGGAAGGGGGGAGCGAGGAGTAAGGATATTAGGCCACTGGAGATAGGTAGAAGTGATTGATCGAGTAGGGTATTCAGAAGAGAATTGGAGAGTGCGAGGCTCCTCGATACCGGGGCTCAAGCCACCAGAAAGCATTCAGAAGCTAAATGTGGTAGCGGAGCTGGCTTTGGTCAGCTCCACGCCAATCCCGGGCCCGCGCGCGCCCGGCGCGAGCGATCGGCGCCGCCTGGCGCCCCGCAGCTTCGTCACCACGAAGCTCCTCGCGCTGATCTACAGCGTCTTCTACTTCGGCGTGGCCCACGCCACCAGCGACCCCGCGAGCTTCCACGGCCAGCGGTACGAGCCAGATCACGTCCCCTGCGCCATCGACAGCACTTACTTAAACGAGTGTTATCATGCGAGTTTCACCTTGTACAGTATTTGGCAAGAGAGTTCGGAAGACCCTTCAGGCATCGACGACTGCACTTTCACAGTGGCTGCAAGATCTGATGACTACGAGAAAGGTGGTTTCAATCTCAAGGGTTTCACGAAGAATGTACGACCTGGTTGGACGCCAATTATCAAAGATTACACGTTTCGGATAGACATTCAGAGGTTACAACTAACGTGGCTAATTTCTGATGAAGATAATGGAGAACGTATCGGACAGATTGTGAGCAGGTTGAAGGGCCAGCCGTTCGCGCAGGCGATGAGCTACACCATCACGAGGAACGGAGTCACGTATCGCGGCGACGGGGCGATGGCTCTCCCGGCGACTCACGAGGACCAGGCCGCAGGCATCACCCAGGAGCATAGCGGCACCAAGCAGTTTCTGCACACATTGAAGTCATTGTAAGAGCTGCGCGACCAGCTTCGAGTGGGTATCCTGCTGGACGCGCACTTCGCCTGTTGGCGCAACAACAGCGAGCTCACGACCTGGATCGCGCAAAACGAGATGGCCTACGACGACGCCTACGCAAAAGGGCGGACTGCAGGTGAGCACGGTCGGCAAGTCACGCTTCCTGCTCAAGAACCGACTTCCGCGATATTGTACCGACGACATCAAGCTGCACGTTGGCGGCGACCTTTCACCATATCAGGCCATTCGCGGTCTGCTGGTGAGAATGGAAATGCGCCGTGCACTGACGAGGACGGCGACCACTTCGACCTCGCCGAGTATCGCGACATCTGGTATGAGGCCTACGACGTGAATGAATGCGTGTGGGGTTCGGCAGAAAGGATGGAATGCCACCCTGGACGGCGAATGATACTGCATGGTCGACGACGACGCCTCGCAGCAGTACGACCACAATGGCGAATTCTTGGTAGAGTTCAACCATCGAGGAGTACTCCACCTACTACGGTGGCGGCAAACGCAGAGGTCGCGGCAAAGGATGTGGTGGCGGCAAAGGTTGCCGACGCAGCAGCAAAGGCAAAGGTCGCAGCACGGGCGAGCGTAAAGGCGAGAAGTTCGTTCCCGACTACCAGTCAGTGTCGTGCTCGGAATGGTTGCGGCGCGGGTGGCAGCAAGTGGCATCGAAGCGAACAGTTTCCCACCGATGGTCAGCAGCAGCAGCGGCAGCCGCGACAACAGCCAGCGCCCCCACAAGGGGCCTCCGAACGACGAGGAAAAGGCAACGCCAGCAGCAGGCGCTACTCAAACAAGGAGACAGCTAGACCCGGGAGCTCAGTCATAGGTTTCATTTATCGCAGTGCCAGCTCAGTTACTGGTTTCAGTCATTCCAGTGCCAGTCGGGACCATGTGCCCGACCTCGGCGCGAGCCCGCCTGTTCCCGCAGACAGCGGTCTTACAGGTGCAGCGACGCCAGTGGCCAGCGCCAGTCCGGTGCAGCCTGTCATCCCCGAAGGCAACGACTTCGAGGAGACCTTCGCAGAACAGGCGCGGCAATGTCCCGTATATCATTGCGACGAGAAGATCGAACAGGAATGAGATCTACATGATCGCGCCTGGCACAGTGCCATTGGCGAGGACGATGGCGAATTCGGGGCACCACCCATGCAGAAGTTGACGAAATGCAAAGACAAGAACTGCAACTCCTCTTCATCTTGGAGACGATCCGAAGATAAAACAATTTCGTGTCGGTTTCGAAGCACCTGTGCCGATGTCGATCATCAGTGCCATCGCCAATGGCGTCTTCGCCGAATGGTCTCACACTTGCAGATCGTCTAATGCAGCAGTTTAAGCATGCATCGAGTCCCTCTCCATCTCTGGCATATTCGGCACCCGCAACAAGTTTGGCGAAGAGTCAGACGGAGGAATCGCTGGCAGTTTCGAAGACACCAACGAGAACTCTTACGCAGGCAGAGAAGCTACAGAGACAGCGCTCCATGCGCCTGCTCTCATCGAAGGTCGTTCATGCGCGCGCTGAGACCGAAGGCGCCATCTATGTCGCGTTTCCGGGCGGAATCGAGCTCCACCTGGACCCGAAGTGCCAGCGGCAGTGGCGGCAGCGCCGGACGTGGGCGACGAGCAGGCAAACTCAGGTGACCCACCGCCGCCCATGCCTTCGGCCCCGGAGGCGGTGCTGCCAGTGTGGCGGCGTCTCCGAGGCGCGCGGCAGCGCGACGCGCGCAAGTTTCAGGGGCCGAAGGTATTGCGGCCCAGTTTCGACGTCGCCGCGCCAAGTTTGCGCGACGCATGCATGAGGCCCGCGCTGACGTCGAGCGATTGGTGGGATTATATCAGAAGTTCTTTCGCGCCGTGGGCGCTGACTGCGAGCGCTTCTGTAAGGCGTTGGCCTTGCCATCGCAGATCCTGAAGCTCTGCCGCGGCATCGTGCAGCGCTGTGGGGCTTGCCGAAACAGGATGAGTCATGAGTTGGCCGCTCATCAGAGCGACCTTCTTCTGATTCGAGACGGTTTGTTTTTTGCGTGCGGAGGAGTGCGCGCGTTTTCGGCTGGCTGGGCGTCTCAGTAGCAACGCGCCCGCCGACGTCCTGAAGGGCTGCGCGCAGCTGTGGGCCAGGGCCTCTTTGGTCTGATGGGAACTTCGGTGATCGACCAGGGGGGGGGGGGCTCGCGGGCGACATGGCTGCTCTCTTCTGCGATCGCTATGTGGTAACGCGCGACTTTGGCGGCGCGGCGGCTCATGCTCGTTTTGGTCTGGCCTGGCGCGCGATCTCCCTGGTCAAGCGGTAGCTCTCAGGATTAAGGCCGACTGCGCGAGGCAGGGCATCGCCGACCTGAGCGACGGGGGCATCGTGGCCGAGGCAGCCGTGGCTGGCAATTTGACGCTCAACTTCGGTGGCTCTGCGCCCGCTCTGGGCTTTTACGGGTTCGCTCCCGAGGGCTTTTGCGACCCTGGGTCCCAGGCGCTCGCTAGCGCCAACGGCATCCTGGAGCAAGTGCCTGACTCCACTGAAGCACATATTCGACTCCGTCTCATTGCGAAGGCCAACGCGTTGTAGGCAGTTGTTGACGAGCGACTGGCAGGAGCCGCCAGCGCGACGCAACAGCAGCTAGATGCGAAGTGGCTCGAGACCCTGAGGCCACGCGACAGCGTCGACATCTGGGGGGCTCCGGAGGGAAAGGGCGCCGACGGGTGGGGAGGTCAGGCGGACTTCATTTCGTTGTCCGAGGATCTCAGCGCGGCTATCGCGGTTCATCAGGGGGGGCCTTTCATGTTACTTGTGCGACATCTACGTCCCAGACAGTTGTGCGATCACGTTTTGGGCTATCACTGGCAGTCGCACGAGGTCTACCTGGTGCAGAGACACCAGGCCGGTTGGCCCAACGACTTGAAGTTGTCGAGAGTTGCTCGCCAGGTGTTCTACAACGCATGGGTGAAATTATTCCAGACGGAGGTGGCCTGACCCTGAAAGCGCGAGACCTGCGCGACGACCCACCTCAGGCATGGCTTTCCATCCAGCACCTATCGAGCACCATTGTCGGCGTGCCTGAGATCGATGCGATATTCTTTGCTACGGGCTCTCGCCAATCTCATTCACTGAGGCCATTGCAGCGTGGCTTACTCATAGCTCGGCGTCCTGAGCGGCGAGAGCACTGCATCAGTCGCGAGCTGCATCTGAATGATGCCAACAATCTCAGCAGGATCATCGGCACTGCTACATGGTATAACCATTGTTTTCTCATCTTGGCATTGCAGGAAGCTCCTGCACCTCATGCTGCGTATCAATCTATCGACGATCTGGACATTCCCAGCACCATGGCCATCATTGAAGATGCTCGGGAGGGCGGTCCCCAGAACATGATGCAGAGGCCTGCGGCTAGGGTTGCATCACTTGCGCCAACACCTGCAGGAACCGCGGGCGAGCCCTCCTGCAACGCGGCCAACGAAGATATCGATGGCAATCTCTCGACAAAACTTGGTCGACTGATACGCACGCCGGAACATGCGCAAATTCTATGTCCTGCCCTGAAGGATGCAAGGCGGGAGTCGACACTTCGATCTCTTCCGACGCATAAGGGAAGTCGAAGCACCATTGATTGATTTTGATGCCAGGCGCGACGCGCCTTCGCAACCTCGACGGACATCCGACGAGACGCCCATCACTCAGGACGCGCTTCGAGTTCCAGTATTACCCTCTGCACCTGAAAACGGCGATTCCTATCGAGACGCGCCCTCGTCATCATCCTCAGGCGGACAGCCGATACTACGGGCTCCTGTGCTTGAAAACAGCGTTTCGTATTGAAACGCGAGAAGATGTGCCGTGCCGTACCCAGGTT